CAGTTGAAAATTATTTCCCAATGCAATTGAGTCAGCCAAGCATGAAGAATGCGGTGATAGCGTTAATCAGGCGAATGTCGGAGGAACAATGCAGTTCACTTCATGACTTCATAGTTCACGGTAGACTACCAACAACGCCAGTAAACTTACATGGAGAACAGCATTCGTACACCCTTTCAAGAACCTCGACTAACGTAGCAGTGCCGTTTATACAACGAGGAACTGTTGATTTGGATGAAACGCTCAGTAACGATGAGGAGGAAGTAATTTCTATCAACTCCGAAGAGTTAACTGAACGGGACATCGAAAATGAAGAAGAGCATGACGAGAATCGACTCTGCGACATCTGTAATCTTGAGCAGCCTCCGTGTGAAACCGGTGATGCGGTTGGTTGGGTTTTCTGTAGATGTGAAGCAATGTTTCATACCTTCTGTGCCTACGACCCATCGCCGAACGTACGAGCAGTGCACTGTCCTATCTGTGGCGCCATTACAAACTAATAATGATGACGTTCGACCGCGAGAACGAGTAAAGGCCCTTTTCAGGGCCACCCACAATTTGATTTCCATTATTTTTTATCTACTACTTTTCCGCCGCAAAGGTCAAGTGATTAAGCACTTATTAATGTCTCATGAATTTAGATATTCCTTAGAGATTATTAGTGGAAAAGCGATTATCGCTCTTGTATTCGTAAACTTGTTTCTAACGTTTATTAGATATAAAGGTTAAGAAAACTTAGACAAGATTTTGTCATCTAATGAAGACTAATCTAGTAATTTTATATTGAAAATAATGTGATTAGCGTTCATGTTTTAGTAACACATTTGTAAACTATCTAATAAAAGTACATTTTGAGTACATTTTAATAGGAATATTTTAAATGATTGAAAATCGTAATTTTGTCGTTAGGTCAAAAAATTTATGATGACATTTATTAGTGAATGTAATAAGATAATTACAAAGATGAATGTGATTAAACCTCATAGAGAAGTAAACGAAATTGAGAAAATTAACTTATTTAAGAATAAAATAATGACATTAGAAAACAAGTTGAAACCATCATCATTGAAATGATTCATGTGATAAAAGGTCATACAGTAAGTGTAAAAAGAAATAAGAATATTATCCGTTTCATGAATACGAAAAACAAGAACTTCATATTCTTGTTTTATATTAAAATTTCCTGAAACCAGAACTATGCGTACGTAAGAAGTACGTCTGATCGTCAACTAAGCCTCCATTGTTATTCATAACTACTGATTATATCACCGTTTTCATTTGCACACCTCATCAACTATTTATGACTGGTACAATCTCATTGTACCAGTTAAATATTCCCTTAAAATATTCAAAAATAAAAAATAATTTAGGAAACAATCGTTTTCCTTAACTTCATCATCACACTATACAGTTATTAGTCCATAATTTTAATATTTTATAAAGTCCAAAAATAAAGCATGGCATTAATGAATTTGACAATGTAATATGTTAACAATGGTTAACGTTTACATCTGTAACGATATATATGTTTACAAATTAAAAAGGTCATTCACTAAAGGTCGGGATGATTTGCAGTAAACTGTTCAGTCACAATAAGTGACTAAACATTCTAGGAAAATTGAAAATGCAAAAAATTTTGTGTCAATGAAATACATAGTACAAGAATTGAATCTTGTCAATTGACATAATAATAATAACGATCATAAGGAAAATAGATAAGAATAGCATTGTAAATGTTCATTGATACAGTTGACCTTATTCGTATTTATACGTTTAATGTCGATAGATATTTGTTGAGTCAGTCAGATGACGTAGGCTTGTTCATTGACACTGCATGAAATTGATATTTCAAATGCTTGTCAAAAATGGTTACATTCATAATGTCTAGATAATTCAGGTTTCATATTACGGAGGTTAACAATATTCACACATGACTGATTAAACACACACTAGTTTTTATTACGACCAAAAAATTAATTTTAAAATACAGAACTACAAATAATTTACAAGTGAACACAATAAACCGTTTCAATGGACTTTTAAAATTAACCACATTTAAATCTAACGTTGTCTAATTCTCATTATGAATGAACATTTACAAAATAATCGTTTACTAAATATTAAGTGTCTATTTCGGAAAATTTATTACTACTTTCATATACTGTCAAAGTCAGTTCATTAAATGATCGTCTACGGTTGGTTCACCTGAATTATACATCTTGCAACCAGTAATTTATCATGATGATTTATTGATATGTTGATTTCTTTTTCCCATTAACACACCGTGTGTTACAAAAAAACCTATGCACACACTTTGGTGATAATTTGTTTATTAATTTGGTATTAAATATTTGACTACCGACCTCATTCAGTAATCACTATTATCAAATATTCAAACCCGTTTAAAGATGCTTTTTCCCAAAAACTTTTTTTTACTGAGATACATATAATTATTCGTGTTCCGATAACTAACGACTTCAATTCAAGGTAAAGTAGATCGGAAAACAAAAATTTATCCCAATACACATTCACTAACAGTAGGATTGCATGGTAATGCAATTAAGTTGGTGTCTTTTTCTTCAAAAGTCTAAATCTTTTTCAAGACTAAGATTACACAAAAAAAATTATTCATTATCATTAAATTTCAAATGTAAGAAATCAAAATTCTGACATCCAATCACAGCTCCAGATGTGATTTCGATTTCAACTAATCAGATTACAAAGATGAACAGTTTACGACCAATCACAAAATTATTAAAGGTAACAAAATGTTTGTTCATTATCACTTGAGCACACACTTGCAAAACAAGTCCACCAATCAACGATACCTAAATTTTTCATTCACACCCCAAAATTTTTTTAAAAGGGGTGGTAGGGAATCATATAGGCCGGTTACTTAATGTCAACCGACTTTGAGTACATAGATGACGCGGTGCCGTTCAGTGATCGCTGAAAAATGCCTTTCCCTCTCACTAAACGAAAAATATTCAGAATTAGCATGGGCCATCGCCTAGTCTGTTCATAAAAAGTATGCTTTGGACACTTCAATTCTCTTGAATGTCTCTAACCACGGAAGGGGGCTGATAAAACCTCAGCTTGGATATGGAAAAACCATTTGGCTTTTGCTGACTTCAACACTTATGGCATACGAAATATTTGTGTCTGCCTATCAAAGAAGGAGTTTGTGCTGCACTTATTTATGATTGTGAAACCTGGTTTATAAAAGCACAAGACACAAGAAGGATGTTAGTATTTAGTCATTAGTCTCCTACTTGTAGAAGGGAATCACGTATTGAGATATTCTGAATTCTTATTTAGAAGTGTACGACGCATACTTAACTCATATTGTTTAACATAGAGGCTAGAGTCATACCATGACGTGGGATAAGTGAATGTGTTTACTAACTGTTGATTTGATCTGCACTTAGAGGTGAAAAATTTCTGTTTGGGGTTTGCGAGATACTCCTAATGTTTGATTGGGAAATCATTCCATATGTCCTAAAAGGATTTATTCTTTATCTTACAAGTGTTAAATGTAACATTTCCCCATACACTTCATATTTTGATTGTCTTCCTTTTGGATTTTATTTCTACGTTTCGAATACTAATATTGTTTTCACAATGTTGCTTTCCTTATCAGTTTTCTTTCATGCTGTACTTCTGCAGGTTGTAATAATTTTGACTAGCACCAGATCCGCTGGCGGTTGCAGATATATTTATGCCACATATATCCTGGTAGGCTAAAAGTTTCGATCTAAGCTAAGAGTAATTATATATGTTTAATCAGAATGTAACCAGTCAGTCAGCTACAACGTACGACCAGGCATATTTATGCATCGGTCCAAGTTGCCATACCTCATTAACACAACAAAATGGACACCGGATTCATAAAAGCAGTTAACTCAGAGGTGATAATATATAAAAGAAAGATTGCAATAAGGATATAGTACAGGAAGAAAGATTTTGTACGTAGAAAGATATGAAGCGATTTCAATCTCTTAATTTAAGGGAAAACAGAGAGTGTATACACCGACGCCATTGTGATCGATTTTGAGCCATGTCACCAAGAGTCTCCAATCATTGGTTACGATAGTCACGCGGACCCCAACCAAGTAGTCTGCATCTCCCAACATGGCTCACACTAGAAGTTAGTGACTTCAAGCACTGATGCCACGTTTTGATTTGGCCGCCCCTAACTTTCTTCCAACCATCCCGAACGCCGGTTAGCATTGCACGTCGTGGTAATCGGTGTTCAGGTAGACGTAACACGCGGCCCAACCATCTCAGTCGATGAAGATTCACAACCTCATCAACTGATTTACCATCAGTCCCTAATACCCTGCGTCTAACCTCACTATTACTTACCCGGTGATCCCAGCAGACGCCAGCAATATTTCTGAGGCATCTGTGGTCAAATATTAGTAGCTTACGAGTATCTTCTACTCTTAATGGCCATGTTTCGCTGCCGTAAATTAAAACAGAACGGACTGCCGCGCAGTATACTCGTCCTTTTATTAATAGACGGATATTTCATTTTCGCTATAGATGACGTAAAGTGGCAAACGCTGACCAGGCTTTTTGAATCCGTGTAAAGATTTCTTTATGCAACAACTATATACTTGATTTTTTCGTATTTTCTTTACTGTTATTTCTTTTCTTCATTGTCTCCAGAATGTTGTTAGTTTGCTTTGTTGGACAAATTTTCTGGTTACCTATCGTAACGTTTTTTTTTGGAAATAACTTCAAGTTGTAGATAACCACAGATGTTGACTTTGTAATACAGCTACCACGTTTATGTTCGTGTCTTAGATTATAAACCATAAATTACCGTCCAAACATTAATAAATAGAGCAGGTTTTGAGTTCATGATTTACAATTTATCACTTACATACCAACGCGTTAGTCATATTCACACTAGTTACTTTGAGCTCTTATATTTTTTTGTTCTTCTGGTTGAAATAATTTTTGTTCTAATCATAGTCTACTTTTGTACATTTTAGTTCCGGTGAACTGAAACTGAAAGTGATAGATAATGGAGGTGAAATATGTTGCTCCTTCCCAGTAGAAGTTGGTAACAAAACAATTTGTCAAACAATAAAAAAAGGTAAAGCATTTTGATTCATTAGGATTATATATATATATATATATATATATATATATATATATATATATATATATATATATCAGGCGGCCTGCTTGAGCATCTGGGCTACCTGTTCCTGCCATCTAGATATTTCAACAAGTTATCTATTTTTGTTTGTTTTAATATATCATTATGTCTATTAATCGCACAACCTATTCTGCTGCGTTTCTGAAAAATGTACAACCTTTCGTTATCAAAGTTACAAAAAGCTCAAAAAGAGAGAATATGGTTGCTCGCAATATACAACGAAAAGAATGTACATCATTCCCATGTTCATTTACCGGACTGATGACATCTAGCTGGCGACCACTCAGTATTTATCGCGAGGACCGACCAAGAAGAAAGAAACGGAAACTTGTTGAAATACTTTGTGCTGAGAATTCTATATTGTACCAATAATATAATATTGAATAAAGCTAATAATAATAATAATAATAATATATATATATATATATATATATTAACAAGTAGAGTAACTATTTATTACAATAAATCGACCTTTCGCTAGTGAAAATACATTCTAGGGATATCAGCAAGCAATCACTATTTGGATGAAGTCAATTTCGTTGTTATTGTTAAGCATGTATGTATGAAAACCATGATAACAAACTTTAAAAATACCTTACCACTCTTTTCGTCTTTTTCCGAAACCATAATATTATGTATAGTTCCATTGGTTTGTCGTATTACGCTTATCACTATGATTTTCAAATTTTATCTCTGCAATAAAATGTCCACTAAACATCTGCGTTCACTCCGTTGACTTTGCAATTTTTCTTATATTTGGGTTGAAGTATGTAGGCAGATGAAATCTCCCATGAACTAACTGATCAGGCAGAGTAATAAAGCATTCAGGGCATAATGACTTATTTAGTAGATTTAAATATAAAAAAGGTTGCGTGAAATAGTCTGTTTTCTTAAAAAAGCAATGGTCTCATAAATTTAAAAATATGATTTATTGAATAACATCTTTCATGATTTGGACGGGGCTTTTCTTTAACTATCTTAGAGAGTACAAACGCATAGGTCGAATTGTTCTTCAGCCAACTCTGTGGTGGGATTCCTTAGCTGTATGTAGGACAGCATATTTCATAAATTGAGCAAACGTTTCGCAACTTTTAACGGTACAGTTCTTAAGGTTACTGGAAAGTTAATTTTCAGCTATCAGTCTTTTCTTTTCAAAATTATTTTCATTCTAATCCCACAAGTTATTTTAGTCTCTTTGACTGACTACTTTCAATATATACGTATGCTTAATTAAGGAGTAAAGGGAGCTCTAATTCTAAATATTTCTGTTAAGTATGTTATGTAGTGTATTTATTTTAGAAGCACCAACGATAGCATCCAATTTCCGAAATCTTGGAAGATAAAGCTAAGTTTAAACCTCCAAGTTACACTTCAATAATGTCCTTAATAATTAAGCAAAGTTGTATCATTCAGTGAGTAATTTTACGTTATATACTATTGGATTTTACTCTTACATTTAAGATTTTATCACACTATTGACTAATTTTTTATGTGCTATGAAGCGAGTACTTTATTGTTAAGAATTGTATTTCCTTTTTACTTGGAGAATAAATAATTTACAAATAAACAGAAATTATTAATCGATTTCATTCATGTTATTGATTTGTTTAACGTATGTATTTAAACTTATAAATCAAAACCACGTTCACCATTTCACAATTAAACAGCCGTTAATGATTGCTAACAATACTATGTGTCCATCCTATGTTTAATTCTTCTTTACTCATTCTGTTATGACCCTGAATTTTCGTCGATAAGAAGGGGTAACTACTCCCTTTCCGGTATTCTGGTTAAATATTATCTATAAGCACTTCCATGTGTCCCTTGATACTAGCCACATAGTTGTTCCACTTGAAAACATGCTGATGGGGTACGACTCGACTCAAGAGAGTGAACACAAAAAGTAGATTAGTTTATTTTACATCCATACTAAATTTCCGAAACATCTCAATACACTTATTTGTGTATAGATCTACTTCTCAAGGATTATTAGTCAAGCCTAAAATAATTGTAACCGAAAATAATGATATATTGACCAACTGTCATATTGAATGAATCCATAATTGAAATTCTCAGAATACAATTGAATGTTATACTCAATGAATATCATGCTGAATTAACTCATAATCTCGTTCTTGATCTCTCCTCAATGCTTTATACCATAAGTAAATATTACATCTAATGTCATAAGAGATTTCAAATTATTTGTTTACTTTGACTTAGTTCTTCACATACTTCTGAGGTTTGTTTCAGTCAGTGGTCTTAAGTGCTGTTAGAGGTTTGTTTAGTATGTATACTGCGATTTTAATCTTTTGTTCAAACTTTTTTAGATTACTGAGAAAATGTCGCGTAACTTTAGGCCGTCTGAAATGTTTTTCAAGATGTTTGACCACAGTATTTTCTTACACTGATTGTATGTTATTAAACTGTTCTGTTTAGCAATAGTCTATATCGCATCTCACAAATTAGTTTCTTTTGTAAATCCATTTGATGTTTATTTTAATCCGATTTATACCAACCTGTTGTTTAATTTAAATTGTTGGTTTTTAGAAATCATGGTGGTTCATAAGTAGTTTTTATTCATTTAAATGTTTGTGTATTTCTGCCTCAACGTTTAGTATATCAGTTGTCTTTATTTTTAGTTACTGAACTCTCATCAGACAAATCAGAACATGAGAATTTGCGAATAATACATCGACAGGCTTATCGTTCATCTCCAGACACTGCTAGGTCGCAACGCAATTTTAATGTAAGGAATAGCTCTCTCGAAAAACCTGGTCCGCAAATAAATTACAAACCAAAGCACACTTCTACCTGTTCTCCTGTTATTGGTTCATGCGACTCTCAGTTAGGTGCTGTTGCAAGACTAGCTATCGATGGCGGTCTGACAACTGATCAACTGCTTCAAATAGGATCCTCAGAAACTAATCAACCTGGGCATTATTTATATCAATCAGTCATCTGCTGTAATCAGAAACGTTTGGTACCAGATCCCAACTACAGTTTTTCACACTCAAGGAATACGAATTTTTCAACCACGCATCCTACTTCGCCGTACCCTCACGTTTGTCGTGTTTCCCCACGAGGGACTAGAAGACCTGTATGTTATAGCTCTAGCCAATCTGTTAACCTTGTTCGAGGTCCCGGTACAACTGCAGCGCATGACCAATCACACGTTGCTATTTCTCCTACCCATACTGCTGATAGCAATCCTCGTCTATCTCAGTGCACGACATCTCGTGATAACCTACTCACGTGGCATAATCTTAACAACAGTAGTCGTGTTTCCCTTGCTGCTCAAATGACTCGCGTTGGCGGACTTGTTTTCGCCACTGGTTCACCAAATCTTGTATCAGAAAATTCGGACTCGAACCCGGTTGAAAAAAGTATTTCTTCAGCCAAGCCTTATCAATCAATATCTGCATGTACTTCTCCCACCAACTTGAAACATACTGTGTCATCTAATTCCCAATCAGGTTCTTTCTTTTCATGTTCAAATGTTCCTAGTCCAACGAATACCCCACCTTTATCTTCCACGAATGCCACATACAATATAGCAGCTACAGATATAGTTCGTTTGGGACCAGGTAATATTGTTACTCGAGCTGCAGCTGGTTCGACTGTGTACAGTCCTTCAAGTTTGATTCGAATGCACTGTTCTCCACAACCATATGTTGGAATGGGGATGACTGGAAGTCCTTATGTTCCGGTAGTGTCCACGCTTACAATCTCTAATTTAAACGTCCCTTCACCTGTATTATCGGATGGAGATGATTCTTGTTTATGTACAAAGCCCACCATCAATTCTGAACCGAATATTTCAACTACATATTCAGATTTAGAGACAAATAGAACACCTGAATCAGTCTTCCCTTGTTCAAGTAAGGAATACTCACTGATGTGTTCATAACTACATTTACTTGTATGCCTATAAATACTGTATTTGGTGTTTAAGACGCAGGAAGAAGTTTTTTTTAATGTACGTATTTTGTTGTATTAGGAGACAATAAGCATAGATAGTTTATGGTAGATAGTCAAACTTAGAACTTGCTGGGTATGTTAGGTGCTGTTGAGCGTAAAGGGTAAATTAAATCTGTTGATTGTTCAGATATAATGTCAACGAGTGTACTGAAAAATATTTTCGGTGCAACACGTGTTAATGTTTGAGACTACCTTATTTATGGTTGGTTCATAAAAACACCTCTGTAACATACAAAACTAGTATTATACATTTTGCATTTTTACTCCTTTGCCCTTGGCGATTTCAGGAAAATGATTGTCTTTACTTCTATATTTAGTGTTAAAGTTACAAGTGATGCATAATTAATCTATTTTATTTACCTACCATAGCATCTTCACCAAGTCCTACAGAAATGTCTTCATCAATAGTAAACCGACCAGGAACGAAGAAAAGTTATGTGAATCCTTCTCTACGATCTTCAGCACCTGTTACATCATCATCCCAATATATTCCTTCTTCTGAAGGGTAAGTTGTTGTAGTTTATCGTTTTTTTCTTCAAATCAGCTTGTCAAAATGTTGTTACTTACTTACGCCTATCGCTCCTCGTGGAGGAGCATAGACCACCCACCAGCATCCTTCATCAACCTCTGTCCTGAACAATCCCCGCTACTTGTTTCCAGTTGCTATTCATCCTTTTGATGTCTGCTTCCAATTCCCGACGCAATGTATTCATTGGTCTTCCTCTTTTTCTTTTCCTTTTGGGGCTTCAACTTAATATCTGCCTCGTGATGCAGTTTGATGATTTCCTCAATATATGTCCTATTCACCTTCAACATATCTTCATAATTTCCTTTTCAGCTGGAAGCTGGTTTGTTCTCTCCCACAGTAGGCTGTTGCTGATGGTGTCCGGTCAACTGACATTGAGTATTTTGTGTAGAAAATTGTTTATAAATACTTGTACATGTTTAATGACGAATTCAGCTCCGTACAGTAGAACTGTCTTGACGTTCGTATTGAAGATTCTGACTATGATGCTGGCTTGCATACAGTTGTTTTGAGTTGCATATGTTCTTCAACTGTAGGAATGCGACCCTTACTTTGCCAATCCTTACCTTCATATTTGCACCAGCTCCTTGTTCATCGATGAGGCTTCCCAGGTACGTGAAAGTTTCCACTTCGAGAGTTTCTCGATCAAGCGTGATTGGTTTAGTGTTGTCTGTGTTGTATTTGAGGATGTTGGTTTTTCTTTTGTGCATGTTGAGGTCTACTGATACAGAGGCTGCTGCTACAGTGGTTATCTTCATCTGCATTTGTTGGTGTGTATGGGATAGGTTGGGCAGTTTATTTGCGAAGTGCAAATCGTCTAGCTGCATACAAGTTGTCCGTTGTTTTCCGTGCTTCCCTTGAGATGTAGAGATCTTCACAATCCAGTGAACCACCAGAAGAAATAGAAAGGGTGAAAGTAAGCAGTTTTGTCTGACACCGGTCTTCACTTGGAATGCGTCTATGAGCTGTCCTCCATGCAAGACTTTGCAGTGTGATCCGTCGAATGAATTCTATATGGTGTTGACGATATTCTCATCTAATCACTCCATAGTGTCGAAGATGGTCCCATAAGGCTCTCCTATCCACACTTTCAAACGCCTTCTCATAGTCAAGGAAGTTGATGTGTGGTGACGACCTGTATTCAATCGACTGCTCAACAATGATCCTTAGTGTCGCGATTCGGTTTGTGCACGACCGATCTTTAGGGAATCCGGTCTGTTGATCTCGAAGCTGGACGTCTGCTGAATGTTTCATCCGGTTCAGCAACATTGTTGGAAAATTTCCCTTGTACCGATAGTATTGTGATATGTTTGTAGTTCTGACATATGCTCAGATCTCCTTTCTTTGATATGTTGATGAGATATCCTTCTCTGCAGTTTGTCGGGACCTGTTCTTCCTCCCAAATCTTCCTGAAAAGAATGATGAGCATGTTTGCAGTTACTCCTATGTGTGACTTCAGTGCTTTAGCTGGTATATTGTCAGGTCCTTCCGTTTTCTCACTCTTGATTTATCTAATCGCCATTGTGATTTCTTCGATCGTTGGTTGAGTGACAGCTGTAGGAAGGCTTGTATGTGCTACTACAATGTCTGGTGGGTTCATTGGGTTTAGCCTATGCGAGAGTTCTCCAAAGTATTCCATCCATCTTTTCCTCTGTTCATGAGTCTCAGTGATTGTCTTGCCTTCTTTGTCCTTGACTAGTCTCTCTGGTTTACTATATTTCCCTGCCACTTTCTTCGTCGCGTCATATAGCTGTTTCATATTCCCTTCTCTTCCAGCTTTTCCCGCTGTTGTTGCTAGATCTTTCACGTATTTCTGATTGTCAGCTCTAATACACCTCTTCACTCTCTTGTTCGTTTCTGTGTATTCGGTCTTTGGATTAAATTTCTCTGTTCTTGTTCGACTGTTGGTAATTGCTATCGTCTTGTTATTCTTTTCTTGAATCTTGTCTTGGGTTGTGATATAGATCTATTGTTTATGATAATGTTTGTTGCGGCTCGACAGTTCCTGACACGTTGAAGTTGGTGTTTCTTCGGTCCATTTCCAATTGTCCTCCATATTAGTTTCATCTTCTTTGAGTAGATCTAGTTAGGTTTGTAACCTGTCGTTGAGAGCTATCTTGAATTAATTGAGTTTGTCAATATCTGGAAGGAATGCTTTATTAAAACATTGTAATGCTGTTTCTCCAGTTGTCTGGTGCTTTTTAAGAACTATCGGCTTATCAGAATGAATAAAGTTATTAGCTCAAACGGATGGTATCTAGCAATGGAATCCAGGACTAGCATCTCATCTTGTTTGGGACGCGTCAGTTGGATCTATCTGTATGCCAGACTGATCGATTGCAGTTCTAAACATCGTTGGGAAGATTCAAACTATTAGTATAAGTGGAGATATCAAAGTAGTTTCTTACATAAAGTAATTTTTCTGTATTTGTTTATTCTTCACTCCCGCCCATCCTTTTTCTTCTCAGTTTCTATTTTTTCTATATTATACACTTTGTCTCCTGCTAATTTGATATTGATGAAGACTTAGGAGGATTTACAATCGTGTCTGGTTATTGTTATCTTTCCAACTGTATTTAATTCAACCAGTCGACTGATTGCTTACCTACTTAATGGATTTCTGAATTATACTTTTTTTAACGATAAAGTCTTTCAGATCTTACCATTTTCTCACTTATTTATATTATTCATTGATGCTGAAGTTGTGGTTCAATGTTCACATCGCTTGATTGTCGATCAGCAAGTTGTAGTTTTCAACTCTACTTCACTTACATTGATTTCGGCAGCCAGATAGTAGCAGTATTTATCACTAGTCCTTAGAAAAATAAGGTGATCAACTTAGTAAATGTTAGTTAAAATGTCATTTCAATAAACGCTATTGAAAACCAATGATATATTGCGTCTAGTTTGGAAATCGACTTGCACAACTTAGGCTAGCAATAGTATATATATATATATATATATATATATATAAACCCACTTGGTTAGGATTGTTGTTGTGCTGTTTTATTGATTGTAATTTTCTTTCTCCTCCTCCTCCTCTTTCTTTTTTTTCAACCTCTTGTCGATTGACCGGTCATCTGATCCGCTTGTGTTATTTACGTTCATACATTTTTTCCTTGGAAAGCAGAACATTCATTTATTTTATAATTGTTTCTAGGATAGGGAGGGTCTTTTTAAAATATTCCGGTGTTGTCGTTTGTTGATGAGGGTGGTGTTATTATTGTTATTTACGGATAAGCAACAGGGTTTCATTGTGCTTTCTTCATTGATTTCCGGACATGTGGGTATATATATATATATATAATAATAATTTCGTTTTTATCATACCGTCGTAATGCTTTAGTGCTTATTGGAATAGGATACAATACTACAAAGCGTAATATTATTTAACAGACCTAAGGTTTATTTAAATTCCGTGAAAAAGAAGACTGTTGTCAAACCTTCATTGGTTTATTTTCTTCTAGTCATCTTTTTATTTACGACTCTTTTTTAGCGAACATTTCATATTTGGTTTTATAGTATAATCTTTCTCAGCAGATAGTTTGTGTTGTTAGTTAGGGTGATGTTATGTCTTTAGGTTGCTGTCGATTTTTACCCTGTGCTAATTGTTGTGTCCTTGACTGGAAAATTAGAGAGCAGCGTACTTATCGATCGATTACAGTGACACGTAAACACGTACGGACGGCCTAGAGTCTCGATTGGTCCCACTTCCCTGTCTAGCCCAGCCTGTTGAGTCCAGGACACAAGTCACAACCTCTGAGATATGAATCATTATATTTCAAACATACTTTGTTTATATACCAATCAAGCACACCACATCGTACCATAAAATAGAAAACAACATTTTGTATAATATTCAACAAGTGAACAGATATCGACCAATAGAAATGTCCATTTAAAGTCCAAGGACATCATTGGACTTAACATGATAATTATTCGTCTATTCCTCCGCATCCACAACAGGTGATCATAAAAGTCAATGGAAACTACGATGTAACCACCCCTTACTCAAATTGAGATCCTCAATAAAATCTCACATTGAATTCCAAAACAGTACCTTACGTGTTACTTAATTTCACTATTTGTCTCCAGCATTATAATAGTTTAACTGTAAGAACAGCTTATTTCAAGTTTCAAACAGTCAGAGAAATATTGATATGTTATCGATATCCTGGTCTTTCGCAAGCCAATAAGCATAATTCTGAACCAGCGATTTCATTTTGTTGATACCGGGATAACCTCAGTGGAATTGTTACATAACATTTTGACTTGATATTTAAATATATCACAACCATTGCTCCTAGTTATTTAAAAAGCTGAAGGGGCTGAGTGGAGGGTGATGATAGCTACATAAGATTTGTTCAAGGACCTTCATAAATAATTTCTTATTAGTCAAAAGTTTGATTTCAGTTAAGAAAATTTATTATGACCATAATAAATGTAATGATTCATTTTGTTTATAATTGTCTATTAAATTAAAGATATCATGAAATAATTTCCCCCTGTGTAGATTTCAATATTCACCTACATTTTTCAAATCTTTCATTGTGAAATATAGCCCTGTCGCTGATTCCTTCCTACCTCATCCTAAACCATTGAATCTTTACAATGTACCAAGTTCACAAATAGTTCGAACCGTTAGACATCTTCGGCGTATTAGACACATTCTTGGTGATTCAGTGAGTATCATTCGATATTTCATTTTATTTTGTATAGTAAGCTGATCAATGTGCTGTGTAATATATTTTTGTCAAAAAATATGACCAGTTATTTGGTTAAGTTCGAACTGCATATCTTTCACTTTAAAAATCCGAATAGTATACCCCTCAACTCTAATACATCTCTTTTTCACAATTGGTATCTGTTATTTTTATACCACACCACGCAACAGGTTTTTGCTTCACACTCTTATTCACATACTGTCCTATAGAGCTACTAAGCTGTATTAATTTTTCAGTTACCTAAACGTTTATATCCCCTACTTTTGGTTTAATAATTTTGCTGTCTTAAGGCCATTCTTGGTTGCCACATTTACATAGATGTTCCATCACAAATTTGACTATTGTTTTAGAATCTCAAGTTTTCCTTATCACTTGATTTCTTCATTTCTTCCAGCGCCTTAAGGATTATTATCAAAATGTTGTGTACCAATCTTCAGGTCTATCGAGTTCATATTGGATCTCGTTCGTATCAAAAGAATCTCAGTCGTTCGTAATTAGAGATTTGCCGTATCCCAGCTGTAAAGACTTAATATCTTTAAAAGAAACTGCATTCAATATCATATCTTAACTTCCATAGAATAAATTCATTCCTTTTTAAGAATAACGTGCACCATGAAATGATGTCAACTAAACAATCCATTCAAAACTAAGACAGACTTACGGGGTAGCTATTTCATCCTAATTCAGAACTTATGTGTTCACAGTGTGTTCCTCTACAATCAAACTAATAATAATCTATTGGTGCTTTTCACTTCTGACAGTGGATAGTTTGAAAATCACAAAAACTATCATTGTTAAGTTTATTAGTGTTTGAATTAAAAGTGTTTGTCCTCTTTTCATTTTCAATATAGACTTACTATAATCAGGTATTTTGAAAGCCTAAACAGTCCTTTTTCCTTACTAACTTTATTGCTTGCACCGTAAAGAAAAATGTAATAATATTTGTATGGAGACACTTCCACTAAGTGTTACTTTGTATTTTCATAAAGCCTAGAAAAAAATATTTATGTACATATATGTGTATATACATGATCGCGTGTTTTGTGTTTCATCTTGGAAAAAGTTTGCCATAAAAAGCAAGTACTTGACCAAAGAACTATTTCTAATATTCATTAATTACCGAAAATGTTTCTATTAAATCTTCTGGTTTTAACTAGTCTTTTCAAATTTATTTAAATAGATTGGCTACACTAGTTCTGCAACGTCAGCATCCACCAGTGCACTTGCAGATGAAGATAAAGATGACTCTGTTAGTTCATCTAAAGTTAGACAACTACGATTTCATGGTTATCATTCAGTTGAATCGATCAGACGATCTAGTTTACTATGTGATTGTTTTCCAAATCAGTCTACAGATGTGAATGATAGGAAATCTGTAAAAATTTCCAACTCTCATACACCGTCATATCCTGTGACTGCATCTATCGACTGGAATGATTCTGAAATAGAGGTTAGCTTTTATTCTTCATAATTTTAGTTGATTTTGATTTCACATTTGCAAATTAGGGTTTTATATTATGACAAAGTTGATTGTTTTTCTTTTAAATATCCTGACGTAAAGATGTTTACCATACGTACACTAGATTTCTGTTAATTGGTTTTTCACATTAAAATCATTTATTGTTAGTCAAGCTTTATACCTCAAAGTTAATTCGAGTGCTGTTAGGAGTGTGTGGGTAGTTGTTACTTTCCGGTTATCTTCACCATGGAGGGATTCGTCTTGGGGTGTTTGAAAAAGAAGCTGGATTGGTAATGGTCTTGACGACCTAGCAGCGCAACCTTAGAGCCCAATAAACAACTGATTAAGACCGGTTACACACGGTCTTTTTGCGATTACTTCTTGATGTGTTAGTTCTTCACTTTAAATGCCTTACCATCTGGTGTTTGATATCCGTTTGGTAAGGTGTGCTAATATTAGGACCGACCTTTTCTAACCTCTTCCTTCTGTTGTCAAAACGCAGCATTTCTGCAGACGCTAGTCGCCTGAATGGGAAATCTTACTCCTATTACACCTTTGCACAGTTGGTAGTGCAACTTCTCTCTTGGATCATATGCTTACCACTTCTAGCCGTACTATTCTTCAACCTTTTTGCCTAGTGTGGTAGAATATAAAAAATCAAGTGTTCCACCCGATGTGTCTCAATTGGGTCATCATAATAAGCGAACCAGATAACCGTGTCGAGATGCCAACTATAATCGGGAAAATATTAATTAATTGAGGATCTCGAGTTTAGTGAATATTTTGGTAATAAATAATTGATATAATGGAGGTGAATAAAGCTACAACTAGCTGTTGCGAACAGTAAATAAATAGTATGAAATGGTAATTTAAAATCTTTTTATAAAGTCACAATTTTAGAGATTACAGATTACTATTAACAGTGGAATTTCAAATAATTACTATTCTTTATCGTGTATTAGTATCTGATACTGTTGGGAGGGGGGTCAGTAGAGGGAAACCTTGGTTCCTGAAAGTATATTTATATACGCGTTATGTCACATTATACCAACGGGAAAAAATTTGCGCACACGCATCTGATTGATTGTAATTTGAGTATATTACGATCGTTCAATAACTTCTAAATGAACAATTAAAAGATACGACATTCTCTGTTGTTTCATTGTTTTTTTTAAACTGACTAGTCTTCGTGAGACTGTCAACACTAAATGTTTCATACTGTTATTATAGTAACGTGTAATAAATTGCAGATAAAATATTATCAATCCCAGTTCCTAGGCTTCTTGTTAAGTTAATTGTTTTATATCTTCCAAAAGAAGTGTGTAAGTAATAATTATGTGATATAGATTGGATGACACGGCTCAAAATGTTTTGCATTGACTCAGGTGCACCCATTCTTTGTCTTCCTCAAAACTCTAAGCTTCTTAATCTCTCACAATTTTTTAAATTTCAGTTATCTATCTTGATTCGTATCTTCGATGCCTAATCTTTTCTACTACCATTAATACGGTTACTATCTCCACTATTCTGGAACTATTTTGACGATGTGGCATTAACATCCTAAAAGCCCTATATACAAACACCTCAGGCAGAGTGAGGGCATACAACCACCTCTCCCCATTGTTCCATTCAAGCAGTACGGTTAGACAGGGTTGCCCAATCTCACCATTCCTCTTCAACTTTGCCATCGATGACATTCTGGAAACAGCTCTGATGAATGTAAGTAATGGTGGTGTGGATCTGCTACCTGGAGAAAGACTTCTCGACCTTGAGTATGCGGACGATATTGTCTTACTGTGCGATAATGCCCGAGCCATGCAATCCGCACTTAATCAGTTGGCAATCAGTGTCCGTAGGTATGGTATGTGCTTTGCACCTTCGAAGTGCAAAGTACTTCTACAAGACTGGCAGGATTCTAACCCTGTACTCACCCTGGATGGTGAGCAGATAGAAGTAGTCGAGAAGTTCATGTATCTAGGTAGCTGCATAAGTGCTGGTGGGGGTGTGAGTGATGAGATCAATGCACGAATAGTGAAGCCAGAGCAGCTTATGCCAATCTGGGCCACCTTTGGCGCCTTCGTGATGTTAGTCTGGCTGTAAAAGGTCGGATTTACAACGCGTCGGTGAGAGCAGTTTTGCTCTATGCTTGTGAAACCTGGTCTCTCCGAGTTGAGGACGTTAGACGACTCTCTGTGTTCGATCATCGTTGTCTCCGAAGTATTGCTGACATTCAGTGGCAACATCATGTCAGTAATGCAGAGGTTCGGCATCGTGTGTTTGGGCACAAAGACAATAATGCAATTGGTGTCACCATCTTGAAACATCGGCTTCGGTGGCTTGGACATGTTCTCCGAATGTCGTCCCAGAGAATTCCACGTCGTGCATTATTTGCCGACTCTGGGACTGGTTGGGAAAAGTGGAGAGGTGATCAGTGTATGACATTGTATCGTGGTGTGAAAGAAAGATGCAAAGGGCTTGCCTGCGTTGGTCCTCCACGACTCCCTGGTTGGTGCTACACAGTGGCTAGAGACGTGGCGATCCTGCTGTGACCTTCTTTTACTTTTTTCATAAAATGTGGTTGTGTCTTCCTTAACTGAAAGATTTCTCCCGATTGTACCTTTCCGTTCCCTCATTATTACTATTGTTATTACTACACTACCTTACACCAACCTCTTCGTTATTGTTCTCTTTTTTTACGCTCCTTACCTTTTTTTCTTTTCTTTTCTCTTCGAATTCTCATTGTTTTGTGTGGCGCATATATATTGGCGCTCTCTTGTACCAATATTTATGTGTTCAAATAAATAAATAAATAATAAATTTCGACTGATTCGCACTTTTATGAAATGGTATTTAACATTTTTTAAGCACGTCATGTCGCTCAAAAAATTTTTAAAGGGGGGGGGGGCTAAATAACACCGTATAATTAGAGTTTGTGTCATATAACTAGTATATGACTTTATTTAACTCTCACCTGATCGCTATTAAGTAGTTCACGTGCTGTTGCCGCTTAATGAGTGTGTATTTTTACTTCCCTTTTTCTAAATATTAAGGTAATATAGTATTTGGATATATATATATATTTATATATAACTTCAATATTTTCTTAATTTTCATCAGGCTCAGTTTATTGTAACATAAGTACGGCGTCACTTTGATTTCTGATTATTTCTGCATAAATATTTTGTAATTTTCAAAGAAATCTTTATTACTATTTTTTAAAGCTATGCTATAATTCGTAGATTCATTTTTCGTGAAAAAGTAAACATTTATTTAATAAAATATGAAGGCATTGATACATAGACAAATAATTGTTTTTTTAAAAATTTGTGCTTACCTCAAAAAGTTTTAAATATCAATACTAGGACAAATATAAGTAAGATGAAGGAATAGAAGTGAAAGTCAAACATGGAATCATATGCTTAGTATAAAGAGCTGACAACTTGATAAGCACTAGTCGGTAAGACTATAATTTATGGACGACCTTTGAGCGATGCTAGACTAACCTTGAGAGTGTCCACTTAATAACTAGTACCAAATGTGGATTATAAACCTGTATAATTATGTAATTATGATTTACAGCTGACATCAGCTATAATACCAAAACTCTGTTTAGCCAAATGGATATGTGAGTTTCGCGCAAGATCCAAGACCTGTTATCTTATACCTCATTGGTTCGTCCATAAATTATGGTCTCGTCCACTAGTCTTGTTTATTTTCACTAGTCGTAGGTGTTATGTTTCGTTATTGCTTGAATGCGATTACTGATGCGTCTTACTCGAAACGGAACGAAGGATCAATGATTCAGCGACTCGATAGACTATTCTGGTCCGTTGTCTTCGACTCAGCTAACTCGATCAAGAAGTCTTGGTAAGGCGTAGAAAGTATATTCTACAAGCAACAGCAGATAACAAGTCAGGCAGGCAGATCAGATCAAGCATACAAGTCAAGCGTATTTATACAATTATTTACAATCCATATTGTCATAGAAAATTTTTAAACATTAATCAATGAGTTCATTAATTGACCTATTTGCGCATTTAATCGATAGTTCATCAATTGACCCCAATAAAAATATCTAACATTTGATCGATAAGATAAAATTTAAAATATGAGTTTGGGGATCTATCGTCCCCAACACTCCTCCCCTTTTTAATAGCGGGCTTTCCTGGGGTCAACCTGCATCCTGACTGTTGCTCGCCGTTCTCGGATAGGCCACCGTCTGTGACGTGTTTCAGCTTGTTGTTGAGGTTTTTCTTTTGGTGGGGTTGCCGGTAAGTTGAATGTGTCTAGCAGGATGTCAAGAGGAATATTTGATTCTGTTGATGGGCGGTCTGGGGCTAACCGTTTGCGTAACTGATTCCGATGGCGTTGCCACCTGTCACTACCTACCTCAACTTCGTACATGACTCGGCCAACTCTTCTGACCACTCGCGCTTCTGTCCATGGACTATGGGTCGGTCTGTAATCACGGGCAAACACCGGACATCCCACTTCGTACGTGGATTGCTTTTCAAACTTTGTCCGTACTGGTGTAGTTGCATTACTTGGATGCATCAGGCTGTGGATCGTCTTCAGTCTTCTTCCCATTAGGATCTCTGCTGGGGACTTTCGCTCCTGCAACGTTTCATTTGGTGCTGTTCGATACACGTATAAGAAATTTTGCAACGCGTCTGCTGGCGTCCCCTCCCCTTTTGTTTTAGCCAAGGCTCTTTTAAACGTATCCACAAACCTTTCTGCTTGCCCATTCGACTGCGGGTGGTATGGTGGCGAGCGTAAGTGCTTTATGGCTAGTCGTTGACAGAATGACTGGAATTGGCTGGAGGTGAACTGTGAACCGTTGTCAGATACAATAGTATCTGGTATACCATTTCGGGAGAAAATTTCTGTGAGGATCTGTATTGTTTTAGTTGTCGTTGGCGGTATGATAGGGTTGATTTCAGGCCATTTCGAAAGGGCGTCGACTACAACTAGATACATGGTTCCGTTAATCGGGCCTGCAAAGTCGACGTGTATTCTGGACCAAGGATGATCAGGTTGTGGCCATGAAACTGGTGGAACTTTGGCGTTCATTTTTGCCGCTTGCTGACACCGCATACATTTCCCAACCAATTCTGTTATATGTTGATCCATTAGCGGCCAATACGCATGACTCCTGGCTATGGATTTCATTCGTCTAACCCCCGGATGACCAAGGTGGAACTGTTTCAGCACTTTTGCACGAAGGGATTCTGGCACAACCACTCTCTCTCCGAACATCAAGCAGTCGTTCACAATGCATAGAGAATCCCGCCGCTGATACAGCTGTTTTATATCACCATCAAACTTCTTAGTCGGCCAACCGTTGGTGACATAGTTCATAGTTCTCTTGATGATGGGGTCGCTCTTAGAAGCATTTTGTATGTCCGTTGCAGATACCGGCAAAGTTCGTATTGCGGTCGTCAGATAACATTCGGCGTGGTCTTCCGCTAGCAGAGATGCAATTACCGTGTTTTCCTCAGCCGCCAACTGGTCACTAATGAGTCGTGATAAGGCATCCGCCTGACCGAATTGTTGAGTGCGTCGGTACTGGATCTCGAAATCATACCCCAAGAGTGCTAAAGCCCATCTCTGAAGGCGATTTGCTGAATGAGCTGGAATGCCAGATTTTGACCCGAATATTGCGAGTAAAGGCTTGTGATCTGTGAGAAGCGTGAATCTCCGACCGTACAGGAACTTGTGGGAACGGCGCACAGCAAACACAAGTGCAAGCGCTTCTTTTTCTATCTGGCTGTATTTTTTTTCTGCTGGGGTTAGTGTACGGGCTGCATGCATGATGGCTTTTTCCGACGCATCCGGAAACTGATGGGAGATAACAGCGCCTAGGCCATTCGCTGAAGCGTCTGCAGCTACGATGATCGGCATGGCTGGATCGTAGTGTGTCAACAGCAATTCAGAGCTAATAATGAACTTCAGTTTACAAAAGGCAGTGTCACACTGTTTTGTCCAGTTCCAAGAGCTGTTCTTCTGCAGTAAGCTATTGAGTGGAGCGCGAATATCATGCATCGATGGAACGAACGCTGAGTAATAGCTGACAAGTCCCAGGAAGGAACGTAGTGCCGAGACATTAGTGGGAGTGGGCATCAGTTTGATAGCTCGGATATTCTCAGGATCCGGCCTGCGGCCGTCGGCATCGAAAAGGAACCCCAAGTACTTTACCGACTGCAAATGAAACTGGCATTTCTCTGGGCGTAACCGGAACCCGTTGTCACTGATGCGTTGCAGTACCAATGTCGTGCGTTCTCGTAGTTGTTCTAATGTCGTTGCTACAATTAAAATGTCATCCAAATAAGCCGCGACTCCCGAGATACCTGATAGGATGGTATCCATTAATTGTTGGAAAATAGATGGTGCAGTTTTGACTCCAAAAGGTAGACGGTTATACTGGAACAAACCACGATGAGTATTGATAGTTAACAGCTCTCTTGATGCTTCGTCTACTTCCACTTGCAAATAAGCATCAGCTAGATCCAGCTTAGCGAAAAATCTTCCCCCATTCAGCATGGTAAATAGGTCTGCGGGAACAGGCAAGGGATAATGATGTTGTTCCAGAGCTGCATTGAGACCTGTTGAAAAGTCAGCACATATACGTATCGTGCCGTTGGCCTTCTTAATAACCACGATAGGTGCTGCCCATGCAGAGTAGGAAACGGGAGTGATAACTCCTTGTTGAAGGCGGTTCAATTCTTCATCTACTGTTTGTAATGTTGCATAAGGGACAGGTCTCTTTGGGCGAAAAACAGGCTTAGCCCCAGTTTTCAATCGAAGTGTTGCTTTCATGACAGAGCAGCGACCCAATCCAGGTTGGAAAATAGTTGAAAACTGAGTCATTAGGGTGCTCGTATATGATTCGAAGTCATGTGGTTGTTGTCGCAGTTGTGGTTGTGATACCAGGTTGCATATGGTATTCAACGGGACGTCAGCTAATTTTAAGTGATCAAACCAATCTAACCCGAGCAAATTTAGATCAGCTGGGGTTATGTAGCATACCCCAACAAATGCCAAATCACGGAAGGTAACTGTACATTCCATTTTTCCTAGCAGGTGAAGGTAATTACCACAGGCAGTACGAGGCTTTTGCGTTGTATGCTGCAAGTTTGGGCTGCCCATTTTGATCCAAGTCTTACGAGAGAGGATAGTGACATCTGATGCTGTATCTATTTGCAATTTAGATGAATGCCCATTAATGTTAACAGTAATAAATTTTCTCTGACTTGGTGATGAGCTTTGACACGAAGATACTAAGCTCAATGAACTGGTGCGGGATCTAGGACGGGGCTTGTTGGTATTTCTTGATTGACTTGGAGTCTTCTTCCTCAGACAAAACCCATCCTTATGACCGATAACCTTACACTTCTTGCATCGATGTTGTTTAAATGGGCAGTTTCGAACGTAGTGCCATGCACCACATTGCCAGCAAGGAGCAGGAGGAGTTGCTTTAGTCTGTCGTCTAGAGCTGGAGTGAGATGGACTGGATGAAGCGGGGACGTGTTTGTTTTTGTGAGGTGTCTGTTGCACCGCTCGTGCTTCAAATCGGCTAGAACCACCACTCTGGACCATAGAAGTGTCTCGTTGAAGATTAATGAGACGTTGATATTCATTAGCTATATCACTCAGGGTGAGTTTCGGTTCTTGATCCAAACGACTTAGTAGCCTTGTTCGTAAGTCACTGAACTTTTGGTGCTGTAGGCTGCAAATAAGGATCAGGGCTTTAAACTGATCTTCAGTCAAGGACTTTAACCGGAAGCGTTCGCATTCACGGTTGACGACGCCCACATGCGTAAGAAAATCATCATCTTCGTTCATAGTTAGCTTCAAGCAACGATAACGAGTATTAAACAGTGACGAGTTATCGCCAAAATGTTGGATTAATGTTTGAACTGTGTCTGCAAATGATCGGTCACGTGGGTTCAACGGCAAGATCAGATTGCAATACTTGTCCAGCTCATTTGCACCCAGTTTACGAAGTAGCAGCCGCACTTTCCAAGCATCATCTTGATTGGCGAAATCAAATTTAAATAGATCTTCATAACGCCTGAACCACATTTCAAAAGTAACATTAGAATCAGGATCGTAATGAAATTCAGCTATGCTATTTGTGATGCCATCTACTGATGGTGCTGTGGTTGAACTAGACGTGCTTGGCTGTAAGAGAGGCGTAACCTTGGTCTCCATTAACATTTGCATCAATTTTAGCTGCTGCTCAAGTAACAGTTCAAGTTTGGTAGGGTCCATAATCGAAAAACCACCGTCGCCAATTTGTTATGTTTCGTTATTGCTTGAATGCGATTACTGATGCGTCTTACTCGAAACGGAACGAAGGATCAATGATTCAGCGACTCGATAGACTATTCTGGTCCGTTGTCTTCGACTCAGCTAACTCGATCAAGAAGTCTTGGTAAGGCGTAGAAAGTATATTCTACAAGCAACAGCAGATAACAAGTCAGGCAGGCAGATCAGATCAAGCATACAAGTCAAGCGTATTTATACAATTATTTACAATCCATATTGTCATAGAAAATTTTTAAACATTAATCAATGAGTTCATTAATTGACCTATTTGCGCATTTAATCGATAGTTCATCAATTGACCCCAATAAAAATATCTAACATTTGATCGATAAGATAAAATTTAAAATATGAGTTTGGGGATCTATCGTCCCCAACAGTAGGTGAAGTTTTTTTACCTAGTTCATCCAAAAAAGTTTCCAAACTGAACTATAATCTAAATACAATATTGTTTTACATAATCCGCATTTATTTTTTAAAATTTGGAAACATATTTTTCTTCCCTACTCATTCATTTAAAAGTGTTTTAGTTATATTAGATCCTAATATCATTAATATCAATAGTAATTTTTACTTATTTTCATATATTGGGAAATAAGGTTGTAATTAATTAAACAATTTTACATCAAATTTACTAGTGTTATTTGTCTCAGATGTAATCCTTGTGTTTATTTACTCATGAGTTATGACAATACATATTGACAGTACTTGTTATGCTTATGTTACGTCTTCATATGTAAAGGGATTTAAAATTATCGTTCATATTCTAGATACAAATTCGCTAGTTTGGTTCCGGATGTGGTAGTCTTTACCGCTAGTTGAAAATCTACAATTACAGTGAAGAGCCCAACGTCGGTCACGTCAGCGCAAATGTATTCATTCTGTGACTTCCTCGAGATATTAAAACGTAGTATTACATCATTTGATTTCGTTTTTCCTTTCTATATTATTTTCACTGTAATTTGTATATGCGTTATCTCAGATACTCTGAGTAATTTCCATCCCTTCGTATTAATATGAAGTATGGAGAATTTGGTCATTGCACATTTTAGCTAGGTCCTGAGTTACTTATCGACGCCTGACCAGTTAAGTTCTCGATTATTTATTAACATATAACGGTGAAAAATGGACATTATTACTTTTCATATGATTCTTTTTTGTTGAATTTTTATAGGATTCTAAAAAATCACTTGTTTGGTGTAATTATCAAATGACGTTATCAGGTCAAACACTTGTGTTAACACGAGTAAATGATTCTTCAAGTCAGGTAAATTTCAGTTTTTTATTCTTCCTCTCTTTCATTTACATTTATACTTAACTTTACAAGTTTTGTTTTAATTTTATTATTATCATATGCTTTGTTCCTACTTTTTATTTGTACTTTTATGTAACTATAGACAGGTTTAATGTAAGCGAATCTCTCTGTGTGTGTTTTTTCCTATGGGGTTAAATCAAATTGAACTTGATATATTTTTACACTGTTAGGGGAAAGTTTGTCAGCAGTTATATTTCCACTAATATTTTACAAATTAAGAATTCATGTAAATATTATCTAAAATACGCAAAAAAATAGTGAACCTGTTGTTTTGTTTTTACAGAAATGTAGTGCCACAATGTTCCTTTATTGATTTTATTTCTAATCGTTCAATATTAGGTTAATTATCCTAGATTATGCATATGTAGCTAGGTGGGTGGAGAAAGAGAGAGAAAGAGGAAATTGGATAGCAGTTGTTTAGTTAATCGATTATACTTTCATTTGACAATATATTAGAATTGTAAATGACTGACTGATTCATTACACTGTAAAAAATAGTGGCCTGATTTTATACTGAAATCAAAGACATTTCGTTGTTACTTTACTTTTCTCCCTATGGACTCAGTCGTCTTTAAATATTTACACTAAACTGTTCACTAACTTAACCAAATATTTCTGTAGGCATAGTCAAGTTATGAACTTGTTTTTTTCGAGTGTATTCGTACGTTAGATTCCTGTGCTTGTTCAAAAATACATATTTTTGGTACGGTTTCTGTTGGAAAGTGCATTGTTTCCCGAAAATTCTACTGAAGTCGACCATATGAAGGGACTTCCTAATGATTTTCATTTTAAATTTGCAAACCGCACCCATGTCGTTGGGGCAGGCACCACGGAACTCGCTTCCTGAATGGGTGGTTCTCAAAGCCACCTTCAAAAAAATATGCAAATGCCCGCGCGGGGAGTAAACTTTCAACATTATTTTGTTTCCTAGATAGTTTAAGGGCATCGCAAAAAAGTTCAGTCGAAGAGCTCTGGATTGGATTCACTATTACTTAAGTTTCTATCGTATAACTTAATACGACTTATAACAGTTTACTTTACTTTCTGTTCGTGATGGAGTATATATCCTGTGTTCCTCTGTCGATCAATATTAATTATTATCATTACATGACCTATAATGGTATTGGTATATTCGTGCCAAAAGTATGGATAATGTGATAATTAGCAAATTTTATAGATAATCAGTTGTTGGAGAAAGCGTAATTATTGTAATTCAGAACCCTCGTGGATAACTTTGTGATATATACATATATATCTGTTTGTTTTTCTTCTATGTTAAGAAAATATTTCAGTAGTATTGACTGAATATTCAGATTTAATATTTGGTAAGGCTTCTGGATTCGTCTATCCATTTTTCCCAATGCCTTACGATAATCATTTCTTCGGGGACTGTACTAACCAATGTTGGAGTTATTTATAGAGACTGTTTTGTATTTGATACCTTTGATCATGAGTTTGTTTATAGACTTCAGTATTTTTCGACAATGAATTTTTTCTCATTCAGATTTCTAACCATCACACTGATCTTTACGAAAATTCCATGCATATTCATATTCCATTGTCTGGAGAAAGTTTAATTTGGTATTCAGCTTCTGAGTTGCCCGGGATAACATGTACATCTTTACCATCGAATTGGGATTCAGGAGCTGGAGTTATTGGTGTGTTACACAGTTCAAAATTAAACTTAACATGTTACCTTAGCTTTTCGGATCGTCAGATAGCGTCTAATATCTTTGATCACTATGGACCAGGGAAAATCAGTGAAGAGTCTAAAGAGGTAACTATTTCTAATGTTTATCACGTTGTTACATTTTTCGCCGTAGCTTGTTCTTTGTCAACAATTGCAAAGCATTGACCTTCAGGACGCTGACAATTGTTTTCAAAGCTTTTCTTTTATTTGTTTATTTTTATGAAATTCAGTTTCTTATAGGTGTTATACTATCTTTTTTAATATTTCTTTATTCCTACAGTCGCTGTCACGAAATCAAATTATTTCATTCATATACTTATTAACTGTTGGTTCATAACCTTTAGTTAAATGTACAATTTAATGGTTGGCAGTGACTCAGTTTGTTAGAAACAAAGTTAAATACCTTAGACGATGACACTGCAGTGAACGAAAACTCGGGTACGGCAAACCAATTTATTGTTTTATGCGAACGTACACAGTGCCTTTGTAAAGTATGAAAATCGTACATTCAATACATCATTTGCATATCTTGTTTCATTTGTTCTTTACATACTTCATCATTCCTCTGATCCTGTTGTTATTCCGATTGCTCTTCGTTTACCATCCTCTTCTCTTTATTTCAGTCTTATGCTAGTAAGTATTCGACTTCCAATTCCTACTACATACTGCTTGTTTATCCGTATAAGTAGTTGATGTCACACTTGTCTACTCTTGAAAATAAAGTCACTATTGAGGTCATTCTGCTCTCCATGCCGCTTTCTTTTTTGTCGCAGCCTGTACCACACTTCCCGTCGAAATGTGGAGTCCATCAGCGCTCTGACCTCCATAGCTATTTCGACCTGCCGGGCCACCTTAATCTAGTGTCCGCCCAGCACCCAGGAATTCCCATGTCTTCTTCCCGTCGACTGCGACTGCTACACCCAACGCCGTCTCACCAGGCCACTCCAACATTACTTAAAATAATTTATGGTACCACAAATCCATCCACACATTTTGCCCCTCTTTCGTTTTGTTCCATAACTTTTATTGATTTTATTTGTAGGAGTGTAATTCCCTACTGTTAATATTTAGGACTGCGGTTTATCACTCTCTGTTAGTTGATGTACATGCATCAACCGATCGCAGCTCTGTCATTAGCTTAAGTATATTTACTATGTGGTAAGCTATTGGACAGGCGTTTCGTCCTATTTGAGGCCCATCGGTAGTTTCTGTATTCATTATTCACTTTAGTTGGATCGTTAATGCGGTTTAATTCAATGTGAAGATAATTTTCATCATATCTTGGATTTGTGACGAATAGCTACCCAGCTCCTCTAATCAACCAATAAACGAAATGTTTTTAATGGTCCCCATTTTGGATTTTTAAACCTTGTATATACCATTGAGTCAGGCACCACGGTACTTGCATCATGAATGGCAAAGTCAAAGATAAATAAAATCAATTTATAAGTTGTTGGAGATACTAGATCCCCAGAAATTGTTTGGTAATTTTATTTTGGATATTTGAATTTCACACTTTCACTCCAAGGATGCCTATTTTTACCTTCAGATTGTATTTCTTCCTTGGCAGGACCTTAAATGTCATTGGTTCATGCCTTCGTTTAATACGCTATTTTGTGACGTTTTCCCAAGGAAATTTTTATACTGTATATATACTCTTGAGTTGTATGCCTGTTTGTTCGTACCTCTGGCTGCTTGGGGAATATACCTTTTCCTCTGCTGAGCCTGGTCTTCTGCTCCTAGTTAGCAGGACCCGGGCGCATTGGAATAGTTTAGTTTGTTTTGTTGTGTTGCTGACCTTTCGTTCCGTCCGCCGATTTTAGGTGAACTCGTAATCTCTTCGAATGTGGTATAAGTACACCAGCATTTTTCTCTGTCTCATTGCTGCCTGGAGAACGTAACGAGCTTTTAACTATCTTTTTATTAGTTTAAAAGGTGAACCGAAAGTTATTGGGGGGGGGCTGGACATAATAAAAGTTCAGCTGAGGAGTGTTGGTTTACGTTCACCCTTGCTTTTCTATTGCGTTAAGATTCGAATTATTTAGTTAGAGCCTGGTCATTACAACAGTTCTAATATCCAATGTTGTTTTATTATTTGCATCTCACAGAAACACTCTACAGCCAATTCATCTCAACCTAGCTTGCCATCACATAGATTACGTTCTAAGTTTTCCTCTGGACGATCTAGTATTGGTCTTGCTGGACCTTCTGGTGTAGCGCCATTATTTAAAGCTGTTGGGACTGCTGCAGCATCAGTTGGTATGCAGCTTAGCGAGTATGTGAATTTTCAAGGACTATTACAATCTCATAAACAAGCTACAGTCTCTGTCTCTTCTCCACAAGAGTCTGCTTTATCTGAAAATGGTGATATTAACAAATCAAAGAGTAAGTTTTTGTCTGTTACAACTTTTTATGGTTCAGACAAACCGATAATAATACACGGTCGGCTGTCCGAAAGATCATAAAACTGAGTGTGTTCTGTTGTAATCTCTGAATTTCTCGAATGAAATGAACATTTTACTGCATAACTGTTCTGTTGAAAGTTTGCTTCCTTCCGTCAGCTATTTAAATTGTGAATTTATCAAGCAGAGTGGGGCTTTTTTTGAGGTTGTTTATTTGGAAGTTACTTTTTTCATGAAGTAGTATAAATTGCAAAAACTATTCAGAAGTATAGGGGTGTATGACAACTGTTTCGTCCTAATTTGGGACTTCTCACTTGTGCACTTTTACGATCTTACTAAGCGTCAAGCCTACGACTCTCGGACCACACAATGAGTGAAATCATCTAGAAACTGAATTGCTATCCAATGATTCACGTTTACAAAAATAGTTTATTAACTTCATTGCTCAACTATCATTCAGTACCATTGATTATATCTGTCTCATTCGCAATATTGTTAAACTTCATCTGTAACGACTTCTTACTAGAACTTCAACAATTGTTATCGAAGACAATTAATAGCAAGTTTTAAGTTTTGTGTAACATGTCTACGCAGTAGATTGTCTTATTCTTACTAATTGTACAAAATTGTTTGTCTTTTTCGTCTTTTTAAGATCTATAGGGCCGTCGCATCAGTGTGCCATATTTCTACCCGCGTTAGCAAATCACTGAACTTTCTAATCTGAAATGGAATATAAAATGTACCGAGCTGGCTCATCATTCGTTTGGTTGATTTTTCTTGTATGATGAAATCTGTTTCACAATATATGAATAAATAGTTTAGGGCTTAAAATCATGAACATATAATCAGTATCTGGTTGTGCAGATTGTTGATTTTTATTGAAATAATGAACCGATCAATATTAGACCACCACTGAAAACCTCGTAGCGCTGGACGGGCTCTTCGTCCTGATATGCGACCCCTCAACAGTGGACATCCACGACTCTGTCCATATGAATCGAACCCAGGACCTAATATATTTTTATATTCTGGTAGTATTTACTTTTAATCTTATGATGTGTATGTAATTATTTTACCATATGTTGTGATAAATTGCTTCTCATTGTCATCATTGTACAACAGAAAATTGCTCAATCATTATTATCTGATATTCTAATATTTTACTGATACTTTTTATAGGTGATCAGACTTCAAGTGTCCAATCATCTAATCCATCAGATTTTACTGCACAGCCTAGTAAAGCTAAAGAGCTTAGATTTCTTCCTTCTTTTCCTCGAGGTCGTGGACGTTTGCATCAAGCGCTTACGAAAATGAAACGTGCAGCAACAGCATCTTGTGATCCTACTACCCGTTCAAGTTCCAGCGTAACAACGAGAAGATTTGCTTCATCTCATGGTTTTGGGAAAAACAAATCTATTCATATAAGTTCTCCTCTTAAAGCATCCACTGAAGATATGAATTGCTCAAATAAATTAGGAAACATTTTCAATTCACCATCTCATTTACATAATAATCATAATAATAGTCAACTTGCATTATTATTGGCTACATCGGTCTCACCATCACCTTCGTTGCAAACTCCATGTTTAACGTACTTGCAGTTAGAATCTAATGAATCAGTTAACTCTAATATTGATTCATCTAGTAAGTAGATGTTTTATGTAAGGAATTGTTGATTAGATAATATGATGTATAAACTATTCCAAAGACTTGCAGTAAATTCACAGATGTTAAATGGTTTATATATCAAAATCATTATTTTATTGTTCATAGTATAACATTTTTTTAGTTTGGTGCTTTGAATACTGTTTAGTTTTGTTTTAACATAACATGGAATAAATAAATAAACCGCTACTGATTGTTATGACCTTACGGCTTGTTAATATATCAAGTGACTAAATCGCCTATTAGAAACACCGACTTATATGGCCAGACCAAAGATGTATTAACCATTGCGAGCAACTCAGAGTCAACTCTTAGTCCTTTGATATAGTAGCTTCTCGCCTAACCCAGCCGGTTCAGTCCAGAACACTAATATCAGCCTTCTCTATATAAATCATGTATTTCAGACATACCCAGTTGATATACAAGCAAATCAGGCTACATCATATCATAAAATACAATATAACAATTATACAGGATCAGGCCGAAAGTGACTGTGAGTGTGAGATGCTGTAATTAATAAATTGTAAGTAACTTAAGAATAGCGAATCGTATAATAGTAATCAGTAGGTCAAATGGAAGCTTATAATAAAAGGGATATGAATATACATATAACCTAGTTACTTAATAGTAATCCAATAGGAATATATGTAATAATAGTCCATAAATAATTCCTAGTAGTTACTATTCACTTATTCTTTGTCCGTATATAACATTGATATATATTCTTTCATGAGCGAATTTAATGCTGACTATTTTACTTTGTTAGTTTAACATTTTAGTTCTAAACAGAAAAATAACGACAAAGTCTACAGAAAATAAAATGAGTTCATCCTATTTCGTAGCTTGTTATCAGTTTCACACAGTTCAAAATTATAATTAATAATATTAATATAAACAGATGTTTAACACAGTTTAGTTTGTGAAGTACAGATAAATGTTCAAATTGTAACTGAGATCAATATAATACGGAGTGTAGAATACAAAATGTATGGATAAACATAATTGCGATCGATGTGTGTTCGTATGTTGGAAAATAGTGTAATGTAGAGTAGAATAGATGTTCTAGATACTAATAAACATAATCAAGATAAAACAGGTTATGTAAGAGTAATGAAGTTGATAATCAATTGTGTAATCACTCAACATGATAAGAAGTGAAACCAAAGAAATCTGTTAACGTTTGTGAGACGACGTAAAAAATAAAGATTATCCTGCGAACCTTGTTTTTGCTCTGTTTAAATTCAACAAAGGACCTAGTTGCATGAAATTCTAGTTTTATTCTACTGAGTTGGTTAAGAGAGCATGCTCATAAAAAGTTCCAATTCCAAATGATTAAAAATCCGAAATATACGAATTAATTCGATGCATACAAAGGATGCTTTGATGATCCTGTATTCATGGGATTCCTATCCTATAAGTGCATTTCGTGCTTCGAGTGTGTGAAGCATTTTGTTGCTCATGACTAAAGTACAGCAGCATCTCTCTTGAATCTATCTTTTTTTGTCCAGTTTGGGTCTCATGTGTTTCACTGATTCCAAGCACCATAAGAGCTACAGACGGAGTTGGAATAATAAAATATACATGTTAAAATCTAGAAAGAATACCTTCATAAAAACTTAGTATGTACTGTAGATATTCTTATTCTTCATAGTTTTTTTGTATGTTAAACTTTTTTATCGTTTAGATTTGTCAGAAGGTCCTCATGAATATTCAAACAAAGAAACAGGTCGTTATATCGGTATATCAGTCAATCAACAATCTAGAAGAGAACATAAAGCAACCAGTCAGCTTACTGTTTTAGTGTCGGAAACTGTAGATCAAGACATAAACTCAGATGGTAATGCAATTCAAAGTACTAGTAATCGAAGTGAATGCACATTGTTTGTTCAAACCAAACATCCTTTCGTACCATTGCCTGTTCAATTAAGTAACCCTTTACCATTACATAAATGTCCTAGAAGTACATTATCTCCCGTAAGTTTTCTTTATAACCTATTTTATACTATTAAATGTTTTCTCCTTGTTTTGATGAAATGTTTCAAAAGAAAAACTTTCGGAAAGAATTATTTTTTTCAATTCCTTGAAATAAATTACTATGTTATTGATATACGTAATTGCTAGTAGTAGTAGTGTGGTATATGCTGCTTATATGCCGAGAGATATAAGTAGTATGTAGCACCAATCGGATGTAGAATGTCTGTCAGCGGAAGATTGAATTGAAGAGAACAGTAAGGGAAATAGACAGCAATTTTACTAATAACAGGATTGGAAAAATCATCATCAATCAGTTGAAACGATTTTAAGTAACTCACACCAGAAGAATCGAGTAACACGTTGTCAGATTCACTCACAGTTGAAAAATGTGAACTCTACGGCCATTGATTACAGATCATACTTTCCAATGATCAGTTGAGTATTTCGTTTTCCACTACAAGTCTTCATGCGTATATAATTAATATTGTTTACTAGTGTCTCAGTGATTGAAACAATGAATGCTTTGCCTGTTGAGTATTGGGTTCGAAGCTTGTTTCATCTGTTTCGATCAGTATCATTAGCTCTTTTTTGCATTTATGTATATATGTCAAACTTTATAATAAAAATCCGTAGTCTGTGCTTGCGTAGTTATTTTTGTCCTTTGAAATAATGAGACTAGATACGATAAAAATGGTAATGATTATCATCACCTAATCCTGTTTTTTGTACATTCAAATTGTCATTTACCTGTAGGTTATGTTTAATTACATTCTCAACATTGTCTTCGCAATTTGATTCTTTTTAAAACTGTTATTATAGCTTCGTCCACACTGTCTTTCGATTTGATTCTTCTCTACTATTTCTTTCTTTTCATCTTAGTTTGTTCCTTTTGTGGTAGAACTATGCGTTACACTAGTCGAACGCTATGGTCTCAATTGTATCGGTATTTATCGTTTATCTGGAAGCAAGGTGGCTCATGACTTCATTACCTCTGAATTAAGTAGGGTAAGTCGTATTTCAAAGTTTCGATTGATTTTGTTTAATCTTTTATGATATTGTCAGACTATAAAGAGACCATAAGTTTTACCAATCGTCATTGATCTTATTAAATTGTCTGATCTGAGAATACACTACTATTGGGTTGTTTATTCGCGTGCATAAAAAGAATATCGTTTATTAGTAATTCAATTTGAAATTTATTCTTGATCACTAATTTCTTTCCAGTGAAACATGATCACTATCATTTGATGTAGTGAGTTGTTTTCTTTTTGAGCAGTGTATCCTAGTATTCGTTCTTAATTTAAATGAATGAAGTCATCTAGGATTGTTGCTAAGCATACTTAACGTAAATGTTATAACTTTTCAATTTAACCACGTCGAAACTAAGTTGATCTAGTGTGTGGTGTAGTTTCAAACGTTTAAATTCTTACACATTTTGTTTTTAACAAAATTATATCAATAACCTTTTCTTGAAGAATTGACTTTTAGTTTTCATTTTCTGCTTCGTTTCACTACAGTTATTTTTTTGTTGAGTAATTTTTGTAAATCAATATATATGGGGTTTTCATGTGTTTATTTCTTTCCTTCTCGAATAACTTTCATCACATAGTTATATTTTTTAGTAAAGTTTATTATTTTGTGGTTAAAGTAGTGAACACTGTTTTCTCTCTTATGCCCGCCATGAGACAATGTTACATTCTACTATCATTACATTCAGATACTAAGAATCTCTATAAATTCACCCAACCCACTATACTAGTGAGAAGTCCATGGAATGACTAGAAAGCTTTAATTGGCAAACTGAGTCGATGGGTACATAAATCATTGGTATATTGTACATTTGTGCCTCAGATCCAGACAATGTCATAACTGCTGGGACATTGACTAAAGTGTGTAATCGGCTCCTTCTAATGGTGCACCTTGTTTATAATCTCTCACCTACCGTTTGGTCTTGAGGTGCCATGTGGGCGCAGGGGGCTTATATGTCTAAACTATACAACCCTGTCAGACAAATATCACTGATAGCTATGGATAGTGGTTGCTCGAAACGGAATCACTGGAAAGCTGCGAACTGTTGGTTGCCAACGGCATCAACGTCCTTGGTTCTTACATCGTCAAAAGCTTGTGGAGATGTTGTCTTGGATAACAATAAAAGCTTCACGATTAAACTATCCATCTCTGGCAACTCGATTTCTACAAATATTTCCTAGTTTTCTATGGTTGTTTAGCTAAAGTAACTCTGTGATATATGTTGTAAGTTGAACAATCGTCAGTAAACTTCCATTAATAATTAAGATCTTAATAGCGTTTGTTACTCATTATAATATTGTTATTTTGTTACATTATTGTAAAATGTTTTAGAATATTTGATGTTATATTTTCCGAATTGTCTGTTAAAATTTGAAGTGGGAGCTGTCGAAAGAATATTTCTATAGTTGTAATCAATCATACAACGAAGGAAGGTGTTTATTTGATCTTATTTCTCAGTCTTAAAAATTAAAATAACATTTTCATGAAAATTTCATCATTATCTGATGTTATATTGTGATATAGTTACATTAAATTATCACTCACTTATTGGCCAGTTAGTTTCGAAAGAGCTCTTGCATTACTCCCCTATATTCGTATAATTTATCTCTTATAGAGGGCTCCCATAGATTTAACATGGTGAATTTCAATAAACAGTCCGTAAACATCGTGTTTGTTTTTTGAAGAGATCAGAAGTTACTTAACAGTTCATAATATTGTTATGTGTTGTGCTACGATTGGTGAATAAATTTCATTTAATTCTGAATTCCACTAGATTAACAGGCTGATATATTATGTAAATCAAGGTTTTGTTTGCATTATAATGATGATATAAAAAAGTTTACAGAGACGCTTTCCTTATTTTTCTAGGATATTACTACAATCGATGTAACATCAGATAAATGGAATGATTTACATGCTGTTTGTGGAGTTTTGAAAACATTTCTACGCAATCTTCCAGATTCCCTTTTTCCTAAAGGTGACTTATTTAACATTCTTTACATACATATATACATAAGTGCAGATATATTTCTTTTTTTTTAAACCTTCTTTTATGTTATCTTTTTAATCAATTACATATTCAATGTCACTTTGCTTGTTTTATGTAGGTTTTTTAAATTACGACAATATATTTCTCTGTCAAATATAATCTAGGTTGCATAGGTCACTTTAAAATAATAACGGTTGAACAATATTTTGACTGATTAACTTTAACCCATAAAATTTCTGTTATAACATCGATGAGGACTTCTTTTGAATTTGTCAAGAATATAAGCATTCTTTTTTGTTATCCGTTCAACTTGTCAAATTTTGCGTAAATGTTTATCAATATTTATTTAAATTGTTAGTTAATTTCTTACTCTTAGTTCTTTTTATTATCTTGAAAAGAGCAAAATCAAAGAATTAACTAGAATAATATGAATTCGTTTTATTTTGTTAGGTCCTTATCAGTTACTTGCGTTGGTATTTTCTAAGTGACATTCAGTAGACAATGTATTTATTCTGAAATTTTCATTGAGGTTATACAATATTTGCGTAGTATTTTTTTTAGGAAAAAAAACAAACAAACTTAGAACTAATTTATTCCCCTGATATATGGTTAGTTAGAGTAAAATGTGATTGGTTACTGAGCATTGATGAATGGGCGGACAGACAGCGTACTGACTATTTAATACATGATTTTCTTTCCTATTATTGATTTGTTTTCTTAACTCACTGAGTGTAAAGTAATTGTAATTGTGTTAAGTGTTATTTGGCCTATACTATGGTTCGCTATGTTTGATCGTGAATCATGTATTTGGTTTAACGTAATCCAGTCTGTGCAAAGTGTATCGATCCAGTATCCTATCTAAAGGTAATATAGTTTAAGTTCCGGTGGGTTAGTAATAATAGTAGTATATTTTGGCAAACAGAAAATAATGTAATCCTACCATTATGCTTTCCCTACTCAATAACTAAGAATCGATCACGAAATCATCTCAATGTTTATCTCATCATGGTTTTAAATTGACGTAATGATGATCTATTATTGCTACTACATCTTGTAATTGATTGTTACTAACTAATTAATCATTACGTGTATGTGTTGTGCATTCATTATTTTTAGATTTCCTTAACGAATTTTCTCATTTAAACTGTTATTTTAAAAGTTGTTTCACTTCACTAGTACTCTGGCCATTTATGTCTTAACTCAATTAATAACATTCATATACTTTATTAGTTGACAGTATCACTGACGTTTTTCTCACTTTTAATTTTTTCCTCCTTGTTGGCGTACATATAGTTATGTATCCAGATTTTCTGGCTGCGTGTCGCTTACCACAACGTGAAAAACGTCTTCTATCTATTCAACGTTTATTAAGTATTATGGAATGTTATCCATGTCATCCAGAGTATAGAGCACATAGAGCTACACTTCGTTATCTTGTTACTCATTTAGCTCGTGTTAGTGCTCGTGAAGGAGTGAATAAAATGACAGCATATAATTTAGCGTTAGTATTTGCACCAAATCTTGTACAACCATGTGAAGATTCGCCTGAATTACTAATGAGTGATTCTAAATATAAAATTATGGTAAGCAGTATATTCAGCACGCATTTGTTTCTACGTATACGTTTAATGTAAGAAATTATTTTATAATAATTTAACAATGTCAGTGAGAATATTCTTGTATTAATCATTTGTTTAAGTTTGACTATTATATTCATTATATGTATATCTATGCTTGTGTATAGTGTGTTAAACTGAGAGTGAATGTGGTCTCTTGAATAGATAGAGATACATAGCTTAAAAAGTCAAATTGTCATATTTATGTTATTAGCATGGAAAAATTACAATCATGACATCAGTGAAATGTCGTATTTCAATATGATTTTTTCTATTGTTGAATGAACTGTCGAAACTAAGAAAAAACAGTAATATTTTAGTACATGAATAAGTTTTCAGATTATCTGACAATTAAGTGTTTAGTTTATCACGACTAGTAAACAATACGTAGTTTTGTTTAAAAGGAAAAACAAAACACTTTAAAGATTGTTATCGTGATAATTTATAGTCAGTTAAATAGTTGTTAGAAATAATATGAAGTAAATGGTTATTTAAATTTTACACATTTCATAAATCACAAACTTACACCTGTTACCCCTCATGGAGGAACGTAGGCTGCCCACCAGCGTTTTTCATCGAACTCTCTCCTGGCCAATCCTTTCCACTTGTTTCCAGTTGCTATTCATCGTTTGTATGTCTGCTTCGAATTCTCGACGCAGTGTGTTCCTTGGTCTTCCTCTTTTCCATTTACCTTCAGAATTCCAAGCTAGCGCTTTCTTCGTGATGCAGTTTGATTTCACAAAGCAGTTACCGTATTCTGTTTGCTTTTTAAAGATAGAACAAATTATCATATTTTTTTGTTTTTGTACTTTGTAAAAAATAAACGTGATCATCATAGATTTGTGAATTAATGTATTATTGAATAGAAAGGGGCAGCTTCACCACTTCAGTCTTTTCTTTTCTGTAATTGAGTTAATTATGCAATTAGACTAGTGATTGATATTTCTCCTCTCAAGAAAATTTAGCAGAGAAACTTTTCTCTTCGATGATGTCATTTACTCAAGCTATGCAATTTTGTTTATAAAGCAATCCATAAAAAAATAGGATGAAGATTATATATTGTTACATAAGTGATTAATTGATAATTATTTTGAAGAACGTCGTAAATATTCAAGTTATGACAAAAATGTCGTTTATATTTAACCTAAGATTTATATGGTTTCTTCAGTTTTTTTTGAAGTACACACACATATCACACGAAAGTTAACTGTCGTGTATATCATTTATAATTTAATTGACTTTTCTATCGTTAATCATTTCATGGATTACTTAAACCTTACTCATTTAAAGTAGGATCGAATGAATTACTGAATAATTGCAGATAGATAGAAAGAGGAAAGGAACAAGAGAGAGAGAGGGTGAGAAAGAGAATTAATGATATCCTAACAGAAACTTTTACATTTGCACACCTGTTAATGAATTTCATTAGTTTATTAAAGTAATGCTGAATGAATATACCCTCATGTTATTACTTTTATTACTATTATCAACATCATTACAAAACATGTTCATTATTTTGTTGTAATTCCATAATAAAACTGATCTCTTTATTAACTATTTTTATGTTTAATTTCTTCTCTGTTTTGCTTGTAGCTTGTTGAAACTGTGATCAAATATCACGCGTGGATATTTTCACCAGATTTAGGGCTAGAAAGTGGTTGCTCTGTCCCACCAGATTCAACAGAAGATTTAACACCTGAAATTGATATTAATAGTAAGAATAATTCTACAATATGTGATAGTTCAACAATAGATTCTGAGGATTCAATTCAGCAACCGGGACGATTAGAAGGTAACAAAAACACAATTATGAAAAACTGTAAATACCTTATTTTTGCAAACGTACGAATAGATTAGAAGAAAGTTATAGGCAGTCAAACCAAGATTTGAAATAAGTTCATGAAGTCAGTGATTGTCGGACAATTGTGATAGTAAGCACAGAATAAACCTACCTGGCTGGGGTCTGCGTGTTCGCTGTAACCAATGGTTCGAAGAGACGTTAGATAACATGGTTCGGAACCAGTTGCAGTGGCGCAAACACATTCAGTCTTTATTTTAAAATGCTTATACTTTTCTATCTCACGAATTCATCCTTTTTCGAATCAATTGTCTATGTGCACCACCACTGATGATACTGTTACTACCTCTACTACTTTGGAATTCTTGATAATTTCATCTCGTCTTACTAGTATGGCGTGACATCTTTAAGCGATATGCATTTGTCCCAGGTGCTTCGTTGCTTTTATGACTGACTAACTGATTGAATTTTATAGCTGCCAAGTATTTTGCTCAGCATTTGACCTAATTAAAACTGGATGTTTTTTCTGGCCAGACAAAATACCTTGTCTGTTTTGTTTAAAGAATACACTGTAAAGGTCATAGAAAGAATATGTAGAAAAAAAATATATACATATAACTCAAGTGAGAAAAAACTAAAGCAATCTATAAAATATTATTCCTTTCACTAGAACACGTTTTTTCCCTATTTCTATGGTTCAAATAAATGATGGAATGACTAACAATGCCAGATTTATACTTTTTTTATACACTACATAAATAATGTTCTACATTTCCAACATACTTTATGCAAGAACTTCAATGTGTATTATACCTAAAATTTATTTATTTACATATTCAAACACATAAACGTTGATACGCGGCGGCACCAAATATATACGCGCCGCACTTTATCATTTGATTTGTATGACGGCTGGAATATCGCTCGGGTGCCCAAACCGAGGCAGGTGGTTTTTTTAGGGGACCATTCTCCGAGCCTTTGGCTTAGTGGTTTAATCACAAGGCAATTGAGCCAACGTAAGGAGATGCGGTAACCGATGGCCAAGACAAGCTTCATACTCTATTTGTTGCTTAATAATCCTGGAACCCATGTACACCGTTTGCTTGGAAATAAGGTTTTCTAACTCGACTAGGTGGATCCTCCGTACCTACCAACTCGATTAAAGCTCCGGATTTTGGCTTTTCGTTCTCTTAATTTCGTAAGCAACACCCTTACCTCGAGAAGGCAGTGATTAGGACTTCCTTAGTAGTGGTTGTATACGCGTGGTCATGTGAGAGCGTTTCGAGGAGAGCGGACTCTCCACACCCTTTACTGTATTTGGTGGGCATATATACATATATAGAAATAATTTGTCTGCAGTCTGTATTCTTATTCATACCAAAGTATATCCTCATTTGTTGATTCAGTCAGTCAGTCAGCTACAACGTAGGACCAGGCACATGTATGCATCGGTCCATGTTGCAATACCTCATTAACACAACAAGATGGTCACCGGATTCATAAAAGCAGTTAACTCAGAGGTGGTAATGTATAAAAGAAAGATTGCAATAAGGATATAGTACAGGAAGAAAGATTTTGTACGTAGAAAGATATGAAGCGATTTCAATCTCTTAGTTTAAGGGAAGACAGAGAGTGTATACACCGACGCCATTGTGATCGATTTTGAGCCATGTCACCAAGAGTCTCCAATCATTGGTTACGATAGTCACGCGGACCCCAACCAAGTAGTCTGCATCTCCCAACATGGCTCACACTAGAAGTTAGTGACTTCAAGCACTGATGCCACGTTTTGATTTGGCTGCCGCTAACTTTCTTCCAACCATCCCGAACGCCGGTTAGCATTGCACGTCGTGGTAATCGGTGTTCAGGTAGACGTAACACGTGGCCCAACCACCTCAGTCGATAAAGATTCACAACCTCATAAACTGATTTACTATCATTTCCTAATACCCTGCTTCTAACCTCACTATTACTTACCCGGTGATTCCAACAGATGCCATCAATATTTTCAAGGCATCTGTGGTCAAATATTAGTAACTTACGAGTATCTTCTACTCTTAATGGCCATGTTTCGCTGCCGTAAATTAAAAGAGAATGGAGAAAGTGGACAGCCTTGACGGACATCACTTGAGGTTGCAAAAGCGGATGACAGTTCGCCATAAGCTCTGACTCGACTAGTAGTGTTCGAGTAAATAGCCTTCACAAGGTTTATGTACTTCTGAGGTACGTCTTTCAATGATAGACACTGCCACAGAATCTCGCGGTCTACCGAGTCAAATGCTGCTTTTAAGTCGAGAAAGACCACCATTGTCGGACGTCGATAAGTATGCCTATGTTCCAGAACCTGACGAATGGTGAATATGTGGTCGATGCAGCCACGACCAGGTCTGAAGCCAACTTGAGTCTCTCGTGTTTGCAGTTCACGAGTCTTAGTTAGGCGTCTGATAATTATCGAGGCTAGTATTTTAGATACTATATTAGTTAAACTAATCCCTCTATGGTTGTCACAGGATGATTTTGACCCTCTGTTATATATTGGGACGATAAGTGATTGTGACCAGTTAGATGGGATAACGTCTAACTCCCAGATCTTAGGTAAAATATTAGTCAACCTAATCGCTAAAATTGGACCACCATCCTTAAAGACCTCTGGAGCCAGTCCATCTGGACCAGCTGCCCTTCCTCGTTTCAGATTAACTATAGCCTTTTGAACTTCAGCTAGAGTTGGGGGACCTACTTCAATGTTCCATTCACACTGTCTGGGAATGGAGAGCAGTTGTAGAGTAGCTGAAGGCCAGTTGAACTGTTCTCTGAAATGTTCCGCCCATCGTTCTAAACGTCTGGACTGAGAGCAGATGAGGGTGTCGTCTTTTTCCGAAATAGTCTGACTTACACTTGACTTATTAATTCCAGTTTCTTTTATTAGTCTGTAAAGCTGTCTTGTATTCCCTACAGTCGCCGCCTTTTCCATCTCTTTTGCTTTCGTTAAACATAATTTTGAATGAAATATACTAGACATATGTTTTCGTCGCAGTTTAGGACTTTTCAAGTGGTTATTCACGTACAATTTAACGAGAAATAGAATCCAGGAACTTCATATGATCAGGATCACTTGTTTACAATTTATATGTACTGGATATATATATATATATATATATATATATATATATATATATATATATATATAGAGAGAGAGAGAGAGAGAGAGAGAGAGAGAAAGAAAGAAAGAAAAAGTCTAACTTGTGCTATTATTGTGTTATCTCTGTTAAAGTATAACTCCATAAAAATATTCTTACTTTATGATGGTATTCAACTTTAATTTAATGTAACAAAGTTTAATTTTGTATATCTTTCTCCGTACATTTGATTTTATGTTTCGACAGTGCTTTTGGGTTATTTACAATGAATTATTATCAGAATGTTTATATAAATCCTATCAGAAAGAACTTAAAGTTAAGCATATTATTAGTTAATTTTGTTCTCGTTGACGTTTAAAGCGTATAGTGTAATTGTACTAACATGGAAACTACTTGTCTATCATAAATATGAATATCATTACCCCCTATTTTTTCTACTGCTTCAAGGTGACGTTCAACCGTTGGTCGCTGAATTATTAACTGCTGCTGCAAGTCTACCACCTCCACCATCTGACATGGATTTAGAAACAGCTGAAATACCTGGACCAGAATCTGATCGACCTTCTGACATCATTATGTCCAGACCACGTTTCACTTCAATCCCGACTAGTAATTGGTCGTCTTCAGTAACAAGTATTTCTAGAATATCATCTGGTGGCATACTCAACGAATTGAGTACAACAACAGAAAATTTATCCACATTAAAAATTAAATCAGATTTCAGTGAAGATCAAACAGTTGCATCAGATGTAGAACATAATGAAACTGAAGGACATTTATTAAGTGTTACTAGTTCAATTTTGTGAGTTAAATTTATTGTTTTATAGTTTACCGAGTAGTTTAATTTTTTAAATATTCATTAACATTTGGATGCGTAATCATCTCTACAGTATGTAACTTTTTTCGATTTGATTTCATGTATTAATAGTACAAGCAATTATTTATCTCTGTTTTCTTTCCCTATGATACTCATTATTCAATGGAAATTTGGTGGATTTATCTAGTTAATTATATTATATTATATTTTTAACTGTTGAATCCCAGGTTCAAACCTGTCTTTACCATGGATATAGGCATCTTAGCACTATTATTAATACTCTTCCTGTAGAAAATAAGCGTATTGGTACTGGACAGACCACTTCACTCGTTTTGAAAGTTTCATCAGCTCTTCTATGTTGTTGTGTGACAAAATTTCGGGAGAGATTTCGAAAGCTGCGTTGACTTCTGCCACGATCCTGTCGCTTGTAGCATATTTAAGAGGTTCATCTGCTAATCAACGGGCTAATATACTTCTGAATAGTCCTCTATGTATTATTAATATCTTTTGATCAAGCAGAGTTCTGTCACGAACACATTTATTTTATACTGTTTTGTTTATATGAAGGTACATTGGTATCAATTGTAGTTTTAAGTAAAATTCGATGGTAAACGAGACCTACATCCAACGTATGATATAATTATTAGTATTCTACTGTTTTTCTCTTTTTTTTTTTATGAACCCTTATTATAGACGATCCCTTCAGACTCCTTCAGGGTTCGGTACTAAACTGGATAGTAAGTTCTACACTTTACTTGTTCATTTATTGTTCCGTATCGAAAATATATTGCTTTATATGAAAATTTGTTGAAATGACTAAAACAATAATTTAATCCTGACTTATGACATAATTCTCCTCCATTAAGCCTAATTGTCGTGTCAATAGAATATGAACAGCATTTGTGTCCAATCTGATACCTTGGTTGACTTCAATATTACTGAACAGGTTTTTGTTGTGATAAGTTATTGCTTTTTCACTGAAGGTTTTTTCCCAAAGTTTTATGCTCCTTCTGGTTAATGAGCTTGTTGAAATATTATTGCGAAAAATCAATTGTCTCTATTGTAGTAACTGAAAGTATTTTTTCATATTTTAAGTGAACTTGAACTAATGTATCTATATATAATGTAACTAGAATTGCTGACATCTTTCATTGTTTTCACCGGTATAATATAAAATTTAGATCTACGTCACTTAAGTCAAGGGTGTTTAGAGGAATATACATCCGAAGCCCGTAAACTTGGTGTTCGAGTTGCAGAAAGCAAACGTGTACTCGAGAATACTGTAGCACAACGTTTACATGCAGAACAACGTTTATTTGAAGCCAGAATTGAATGTTCAGAGCCATTTGTAGCAACATCACTAAAACCTCAAAATGATCTGTCTACAGAGTTAATTGTTCAGTCTCAGAGTCCCAATAATATGTCAACTTCAATTAATCCTACCCCTTCTATTACTGCTGGTAAAATAGGAGATCTGGGTGTTAGTGTATTCAAAGATGAAAGTAAGTTAGCTGTTTATTATTATATTTTGGATAAATTAGCTATTTTAGTCCTTAGTTGTCTTCCTACTTCATAATTACAAATTATGTCATATATCCATCTACTTATAGTAAAATCTCATATCAATTCACTTCAGTATTTATATTCACACACTTATTGTTCTCACTGTGACCTTCATACTAATTTTTGTTTTATAAGTTAAGAGGGTTATAGTGATTGTTCATTTTCTAGCTTTAATTCATGTACTAAGTTAAGTTAGGAAGCCTCTGAAAACCAAAACTAGTTGTTTCGTCCTAGTATGAAACTTTAATAATGCACATCTTCAACTCCACCTGATATTGAACTCAGGGATTTGGTTTTCACAGTGAGACCTTAAAATTCAAAACAATTTGTTGTCTTCAAAATTTCATTTTTTCTCTTTATATTCATTGTTGAGTAGTTCTGTACTTGAGTGAAACAGCTGTGCAGTCTTCCCTACTTTCAATGATTTTCTTGTTTTTATTCGAAAGTTAACAACCTAATACTTGTTAAAAAAATGTTTTCATTATTTACTTGATTAGTTTTCATGTAAATGTACATATGTATGTAATCTTATTCATCATAGGTGTATACCATAAACTTGTTATTTATAACATCCCTGTAATTCCAATACATTTATTCAAAACACATGTTCACTACTTCCTTACTTACTGCTTCATTATTGTAGGTTCGAGCAATACTGTTCATCTTGAATAAAATAGACCTATTGGTGATATTTAGGGGTAAGCTGACAATCAATGCAAATCGTTCTGTTGTCTGTTGTGAAAAAAGAACGAAATTTTGTTTGCATGCATTTTCACAAATGAAGTTGTCGTCTTCTGTAATGTTTGTTTATTTTTTATAAAGAAAAGTGCATTTTTAAGAGGCCTCTAGTGAAAATTTTAAAATTTATGTTTGATTCAATTGTTCCACACTTAAATATTATTATTTCTGTGTATTTTTTTCAATTTTCCCTATTTTAACATTTAATGCATGGTTTCTGCATATTGGTTTTTTATAGTCTTGTATGTAATCTTACGTGGTTTTAAAATGCCAATTCTTTTGTAAGGTTAATATTAAGCGTTTAATTGCGTTGATTCATTACATTAAAATGAAGTTGGTATGCATAATCATGAATTAGATTATTCAAGTCTTGTTGATATGAGATCGGGATAGATGTCTCATAGTCTTGTCAATCGATTTGTCACTTCATTATATCACTTTAACACCCTAACCCTAACAATACTTATTTTTGATGATCCCATTGTATATGCAAAAAATATATTTCTATTCAAAATGTAGGTAATTACACATATTTTTTAACTTTAAAGTGTTGATATCTCATAATCAGTAATAGAAATAAACCGATTTGCTCCTTAATGGACAGATAAACTCAGAGGTGATGTAATTTGGCAAGACAAAAGTAAGTTTTTCGTAAGTGAAATGCTGAAGTTGTTCAACTACCTCAACTCCCCCCTCCTATAACAAGTTTCGAGACAACAATTTACATTTGAGTTAATCAACTGTTTTCAACAGTAAACATTTATAAACTGGGATAAGTTTCTTACTTTTGTGTGTTACTTCTGATATCTCTTTACAATGAAAGTAGTCTACCGGAAATTTTCATTTATACGGGGTATTCGACACACTAAGTCCCACTTATCCCCTTATTCGTTGCTTATTGCAGTATTCCTAAACGGTCCTGCTGTATAATCTAATCAGGACATAATCGTCTTTTTTAGCTCAAAGTAATCATTACTTGTGTGCATACTCATTGAGTCATGCGTTTTTCATGGTCACTTCCTTTATAATCAGAATAGCTGGACGTTTCAATCAGTTAATCAGTCAAATGCAACATAGATATTGTTATGTCTGTTCATCGGTCCAAGTTCCCATGCCACTTCAGCATAGCGAGATGGAATTGTCAAAAATAACCCTAGAATAGTATTATTAGTAACAGAATTAGGCAGTAGATTAGATTATACATCAAAGATGCGATTCGAGAAAATACAAATTGCTGAAATAAGAAAAATTTTAAGGAATTCGGAAGCTCAGAATTTGAGGAAGACGAAGAATGGATGTACCTGTGCCATTCTAAGCGAATTCGAGCCATTTCGTTCAAAGTCTCTAACAAATGGTTACGATAATCACACCTATCCCAACCAGATAGTCTACATCTATTGGCTTGGCTAAGTTCACTTGTCAGTGAATCCATGGACTGATTCCACGTCTCACCTTGACCGTCCCTAGCTTTCTTTAAACCTACTTCAACACCAGAGAATGTCACCCGTTGCGGTAGTTGGTGGTCTAGAATATGTAACACATGCCCCAACCACCTCAGTCACTGAAGACTTACCACCTTATAAATCGATTTGCCATCCTCACTTAGTACCCTATTCATCCTAACCGAGGCGTTGCTTACTTAGTAGTCCAAAAATACACGAGCTGTTTTTCAGTAAATTGAGCTTTTACATAAACAAAGTTTGTTTTTAAAATTCGCTTGAAAAGTAAGTTTTCATTATGTAGTACATAATTGCAGTTTGCTTTTTCCTTTTTTATCAAAGTGATTCGCATGCTGGTGCCAATTTAATCGTAATGTCGATTTCCTTTTAGTTAACTCTTTTATATTTCAAAAAACGATTACTATTTGTTGGCGAGTATTTTTCTGTTTAAATTAGTTAGAGTTATATAATTCAATGCAATCTATCATTCTCGTTTTCTTAGACATAAAATGGCGATTCTAGACACTTACTAAATTGAAGTAAATATTTGATCTCCACGGGTAAATTTTGTTGTAAACCAATATTCACAAAATGAATTTACATTATATATGTAACAATAATTTTTCGTTGACAAATTATGGCAGTTAAAAGAAATAATGATAAAATAGATACGTGTTGTGTTCAGTGAATATGTGAACTAATATTCTAACATTACTGATAAAAATTCGGACAAACACTTAAGAATTACAAAAATAGACTTTCAGACAAGATCGTAAGTACTGTAAAACTAATCTATTTCCAAATGATTTTTGACCTCCGTATTTGATTAAAACTCCAAATATATGTGATTTTTTATGCTTTTCGATAGCCGAATCACTGTTTTGGGTGAGTCGCTAATGAATTAACTCCAAGAAAATTATATGCACGCACAAGTTTGACAAAACATTTAGGTTTTTAAAAATTATGGAACGAAAAACATCTGAATAGTCTCTTTTTGGAGGAATCTTATGGTTGCTCTAAACAAAAAAAATCGGATTCGACAAGCGTATTTTTATAAATGATCACTATAAAATTAATTTACTAAAATATTTATAAAATATAGTTTCATAATCTTAGTTCTAGTTTTTTGGACAAATAACGTACGTGTCTTCCCTCTTCGGAAAGATTGATTGTCTTAGAAGTCACTGTTTATAAACAATCAAAAGAAAAAAATATAGAATTATCCTTATCTTAGGACGATATTACTATTGTTTTGTTATAACTGCAAAAAATTAATTCTTTTAGTTTTACTCGTTTGCCCGTAATTGTCGTATAGATTATCTCATTCCCTCATTGTATCTATCCCGATGAAACGTTAACTCCAAAAGATTATGTCAAGTAATTATAAGAGTAATATATAAGTTTCATAATTCGAAGGTGCCATAATATTATACTTGTTTCTTAAAATACTGACATCACCTGACTATGACAATCAATTTTGAAACGAGGCTGTTTATCTTGGAAATTCGAACTCAGTTAAGTGCAGAATATGTAACCAAGAAATTATGACTTTTAATTACAATAGATATTTGATCAATGATAAAAATTAGAGTCTGATGATAGCCCATGTGACTCTGTGTCTACTCAGTATATTATTGGTGGGCTGTGTAGTTTTCTCGGTTCACTTTAAATATGCATCTACTGGCTATATGGTTTTACCTTGGTGTCTAATACTTGCCTAATGTTCAGTGTTAACTAGGGTAGAAGTGGTTTGGAAAAAAAACAGTACAGGATAATCCAAGCCGTTTTCTCAACTCATGGGATCGCCAACTATTTGACTGAAACATGTTTGTAGGTGCAAACTTCCTGGTTCTGATCTGTGCGACCAGTGGTTGAAGGTGTTGACTGATGTAACTCAGATTCGATCACAATATTGCTTTTCTCCCTCCGTCGTCCATGTGTACCTTTATTTCCTTCTTTATGGAGCCGTGTTTTCACTACTTAATCTTATTATTATTGATGATATCATTATTATTTATTTTGACTTCATCAGTATTTATCTTGTTACTTTCATCTCGTTGTGCTGACGTAATATAACACCTTGGGCTAAAGCACGCTAATACCAGCCTCTACCTTAATTATAATTGACTCACAATTAAGAAAGACGTTTTACTTGACTTTCCTGATCTCAATTAAACATTCCCGTGTTTTTTCTTCTTTACAAAACTTAAATTTTTTGTAGAGTTATCTGTGTGTTGATCGGCTTGTGTTTATTAAATTATCGACACCAATGTAATGTGCTAAATAATGTTTTTCTTCCTGTAAACTTTTTCTCTAGTTTTTAATAATGTTTATTCCAAGTTTTTCTGGTAATCACTAAGTTTTTTTTATGTATACATATATTTTAGGCTCTAAACGCAATGAAAGTTGTTTCATTCAATTAAAATTGTTTCCTTATGACTATTATTATTATTGTAATTATAATAGTCGACTTTCGACATCGATGAATTTTATATTCAGAATGTACAAAAAGAAATACATTGATTTCCAATTATCCCTTTATTTACTATAAGATTATGAAAGTAGACATGTTTATACTTTCAGATTTCGCGGGAGATACTTTTCAAATTGTATTCCACTTATCATTCATGACAGTTATTTGTGTGAAACAGATTTTTCCGTTTCTTTTTTCTTCTGCTTCTTCAATGAAATATCTGTTAATGCACGTATTCAGTTGAATTGATATTTACGTAAGTTTAAACAAATGTTTACAACGATTATAAAAGTTTTTCAAGATTTACTCGATATCATATATAACAATAAGTTGCTGACAATAAAAATAAGAACTTGTGGTATATATAGATATATTAATGAAATACAGTTCTGTTCATTATATGTTCCTTAGGATCGAATCTTAAGGCAGGCTATATATATATATATATATATATATATATATATATATATATATATATATATATATATATATATATATATATATATAATCATCGTGGTAATGTTAGGTAATAGACCTCTAGTGTTTAAGTCGCCCATTTACAACTATTGCGGTTTGTTGTTCCGTGTTTATGTCATATATTAGTTTAATTTGTCAGCATTATACTCTGACACATATCTGTTATCAACATCATAAAAATTAATACACACTTGATAGATTTATCTCCATCTTGGTTAGGAAGAGACTGCATACATTATTGTAGCTGGACAACAGTACCAACAAATGTCTTCTGTTTTTCAAATTGACTAAATTCCGTGTTGGTGAAGTTTATTTACTCAACCAACCGATATTATTGTCACTTTTAATGTTTCTGATTAATCGAGAAACTATAATGGAATATAGAAACAAAAAAATACACCTTAAAAATCTACAGGTATACAATGTATTTCTTATTCTAATGAAGTTATTGTATTTAAAGGATTTAATTTTAATTTGTAAAATAGTTTCAACTTTATAATCAATATGCAAAATAAACTAAATTGAAATTTTCTATACATTTATGTTATTATTAAGTAAATTGCCGAAATGTCACCAAAAATGATCGTTAACTACTTAGCACTGAAATCCTTCTATATTTAGTAATTGGTCCTCTTAATTTCTTTTCCTTTTTTTTTAAAGAATTATCAATCATCCTGTCAACTTCATCTGCATATCTCCATAAAATATACAATCGTACAGAGAAAGAATGGATGCAAAACCCATTGATGGGTCCAATTTCCTACTCTCTCGCTGCATTATATCCCTTTTAACACTATATTACTGTCCTATGTGCCAAGCTGTGTAATAAATGATTACATTGTGTAAAAAAAACCATTTCTTTGTTCTTGTTAACCTATTTCATTTCTCAAAAAGTCATTTATTTGCCAATATAATATATATATATATATAATGCCTTTGTTAGAAATTTTTTCAAATAATAGCTTCAATCCTCTGTATTTTCAATAATATACATATTTATTATACTTTCTCTTTGGTAGTATTTAGCTTTTCAAACCTTTTCCCCTTGATCATAACCGTCATTCTTACCAGTCTATTTATTTATTTGTCTATGTGAATTTCTTTTTTAATCTTGCATTGACTATACAAACTAATTGAGTTTCATTCGTTCAATTAATTCGAATTTCATTGTTACCACTTTTGGCTCAAACTATTTGTTGTTATTTTTCTGTGTGTTGTATGTGTTTATAGAGCAGTATGGTAAAATTACTATGCACCATACATTTATCTAATAATCCTTTGTTTTTTCATGCAATGTCATTGTTTTTTTTCTTTAATGATTTGTTATTTCCCTTTATTCACACAGGTTAATAAGTTAATGTCTTTCAAAAAAGTTGTTGTTTTGTTGTGTTTTTTTTGTCGCTCCAATCTCATTCATAATACTTGTACAATTTAATTAATTTGTTTACCTTGTAGTTAATCATTATAAAGATTTTTTTCTATGATAGTTGTTGCTCATATGTCTATTATCATTGACTTTTTCTAACACTTTCTCTCTCTCACTTTCTTACATCATCTACCTTAATCATACTGATTTTCCAGCTTGATCTGACTTTTATTCCCTATTATTATATATTCTGTTCACTTATCTATCCGTTTGTCTCATATACTAAGTAATAATTATTATTTGTATATAAAACAATTTTGTCATGTGAAAATCGATTTTACTCTTTTCATTTCTCTTACGTTTAATTAATGTGACTTTCTTTAAGTGTAGTGCTGTTTCTTTACATATTTATGTTGAATTTGTCTAACGCTTATTGACCCTTCACATAAAACTTGCGTTAGGTAAAACAAATTAATTTTACGGTAATAATATCGTTAATACTCTTACTCTCTCCCTTTGTTGTTATCATTAGTGTTGTTTTTTTCTGTCTCGGTACAGTACTGATTATTTTTATTGTCTAAGCAACAACTCTTTCCGGTTCTGTTACTACCAGTTGTCTGATGAACTATGTGCGACTTATTTTGCATGTTTATATCAATTAAATTGTGTTTTGTTCCTTGTTTCTCGCCTCCCCTCTTCTTCCATTGATCATTAGTTTCAGAATATGCTGAATTTTTCTTATTTTTCTATTACCCTGCCCCCCCCCACCTCAACTCTATGTAATCTGAAAACTTATTGAATAAAATGTGTCAGTAAACTATAAAAACCGTAAAGATTATTTTAAAAAAACCTATTGGCTTTGTTTTGAGGTGAAAGAATTTCCATTTAAGTTTATTATTAAGAATATCATAGTTACTTGCTTTGTTGTTCCTATTATTTTTTAAAAAAAAACCCAACCTGTAGTCCGTCTCTTATTTCCTTTGCTGTTCCCCGCCAGTCTTCATATTTGTAATTTTTATTGTGCTTCTTGCCATGTGGTTTGCTTTAATTGATATGACTTTTTAAATTTTAGTTTTATTTACGAAATTAAATTAACATGGATTAATTTTTCTGTTTGCTGTTTACACATATTTATTTTTAGTTACAAAAAATAATCATAATCAAATGATAACTGCTTCATGTAAAAAGAAATAACCAGAAAGAATAGAATAAATGTATGATTTGATTATACTTTTGTTGAAATTGTTGCAAACATATATTTATTAAACCAGTAATTATTATTATTATTATTATGTTTGTTTGATCATTCAACTTGCTCCTTATAATTTTGTTCTTGAGAAGAAAAATATTAATAGAGGTGTATTTTAAAAGAATTAAATCTATTTCATGTGATATATTAACTGGTTGATGTTTTTATAACGGTTAATGAATTTTAGGGTAAGTAGTGTTAGTTCTACTTTCGATATATCGTTTTGTTCAGTGTGTCAGTCATGAACAACGAAGAGCTTGGGATAGATGTTTATTGCCTAAGTAGCCATATCACATTCATCAAGTATGTAATGTTACAGTATTTTAACGAAATCTATTTACCTTTTATGCATTAAATGAGAGTTTCCTTTGATACAAGGTATAGTGCTAACGGATAAATCATTGTATAACACATTCTATTATAGTTAAATTGATGTCTAGTTCTCAATGAATTTAACTTAATCTTCACGAAGGTTTTAATTCAGTCTTTCTAATTTTACCGAAATGTCAGTCCCATCCTAAAAAAAACTTTAGATATAATTCATGATATTTGTTACAGGTTCGGGCCTATCCTCATCTACTTCGGTTCTGGTAACCAAGTAATATCAATGATGGTCTCTTTCTTAAATGTAAACAATATGTTTATGTAATACATTAGAAAACAACTTCCTATTATAATATATACAGAAACGTTGGAAGTAGACTTTTGAAACATTTAACGTGTATGTGTGTTATTCTGTAGAAATCTTTCAGATTGTTTTTTACCAATGAAACCAAAGTATCCGAAACAAACCTCCATAAAACTATTAATAGGATTACATAATGAGAAGAATATGTTGTTTCTGTTAATATCCCAACTGTTCTTGCGATACTATTATACTTTCAAAAAATTCTTTTGAATTGTCCGCATTTGATCAAGTTGAATATTATAGTGGTATATAGATATTTTGTCAAGTTATTGGTTGCTTAGCTCAGTTATAACAGATATCATTAAGATATGAATACAAAAGTATCATTTATAACACCCTAACATAACTTGTAAATAAATAAATAACACCAAATGTTATGAGCAGTTACACATCCAACAATATTTGGTTGCGAATCGTTATATTTCTAGGTTTATAAAACGTAATCTATGTTGTCTTTCAGTTGTATTTAAAAATATAACTTCAATTCGATGAACTGTGATCATAGTTATCAGGAAACAGGACCGGGAATCGTGAATAACAGCTACTGGGTGTGTTCTTACATTGATTTGTTGGGGAAATCATCAATTAATTTTTAGTTACCCGGGATGTGACTCCAATTGGGTCGTATGAATGTTATTGAAATATACATGTCAATCCTCGTATATAATCATCGACTTAAATCGCGTTGGTGAATAACGGAATTAAAAAAGTCGAGTGCGAGAATGGATGTTTGAATACGTATATTTTATACACTCGTTGATCGAGACAGGGGGTCAGCGAAAGAAACGAAGAATGTGAAATGAAACGACGCGCACTGGAGAAGACATATAAGCCAACTCCATCCAATCAATCGTTAATCAATACTTATAGTCACACAAAAATAAGCTGCAGACATATGATGATTAATATAAGATGTACACACACATACGCTTATATAAAAACAGGGTTGATAAGCGAATAATTAACAAGGTCAAAACGTGACTCAAGAAGAATGGATAAATTGGCCTGTTCAGAAGCTAGAATAAGTTATATGTACTTAGCATAGTAACTGACACTACAAATTTTCATCGAATGCAGCTAAAGAGACAGCCCATTAATTTTGAAAGCATTGTGATTAATTGTTTGTTTAGTTTTATTTATAAATAACCACATTAGAAACTCACTTCACATATATATTTAACAGATTATTTATTTATTTCATTAGCTGGTGAATTTTTTCATGTCTATATATAGATTCTTTTCACAAATCATGTCGGCATTTCAATTATACTTTAATATGATTATACATATTCTGCAAATAAATTCAACAGACAAAAGCATTTCGTTCTCAGGAGTATTTCATTTTAGTGAAATTCTCCTAACAGCTAATTTAGCATTACACTATGATTTCTTCATAACTCATAATTTTCTTCAATGATCCGTCCACTTTTCTCATTTTTATTATCCATGCATAGAGTTTCTGTTTATTAGTTCTTTCTGTATTTCTGAAAGCTAGTGTTTGTAATTCCAGCTACAGAAAAATCTTATATAAATAATTCAGTAGCTCAGTGGTAACGCCTCTGACTGTGAAACTGGGTGACAGGGGATCCAATTCATCAGGCAGCATCAGTTCCCTCAAGTAGCATGAAACCTAAGTCCAGGATTTCCTGTTGACTACCTTCAACCATCATCTTATCTCAACATAATGCACATCATGTTGGCTCACTTTGACTAGTGGCCACACTGCAACATGGTCGATAGGATTCGACCTACACTAAGAAGGACCTGACATACATGACGTTGATCATCACCCAGTGATCAACCAATTGTAAAATAATCCAATCACTTGTGATAAAATTTATCATTGATGATATATTCAGTCATAAATGTTTTTAAGTTTATTCAGATACGTATGACGTACTCAGAAAAATATACAATACAATATTACGAGAAACAAGATTTATTGATTTAAAAGCTAATAAACATTAGAGAAACTGGTTTTCAGTAGATGTTTTCGGGAAAATTTGATTAATGAAGTTGATTGTTGTGAATATCTTCTCAATTCATCAAGAATGAAATGAGACATAAATTCTTCAAACTATCGAAAGTAATACTTTTCTAAATCTACGGATTTACGGCTTTAATTGATGCAATTTTAATAAGTTTTCGAAAATTGTGAATAAATATCTTCCAGATGTTCGGTGTACAGTACACTGCCGTATTAGTGAACAAACAAATATTTTATAAAAACAAAACTGTTAAGCTTGTGTTAAGGTGTCTTGAATAAGAAAGCTGAACTACTTACCATCGTTAATAACCAATATGTCTGTGAATAAAAAGAAGTACAAGGTATAGTCACCACTCGAATTCATAAGATGCACAGTTCTCTTATTTCACCTTTTACGTTTGGTAATGAACCATTACAATATTTCACCAAATACATGACACTACTTTAAATTTTGAAGTAGTATAGATGGCTTAGGGATTTTTCATGTTCTAAGTCTGTCGACACCTATAATGAATTCTGAAGGGAAAAATAATCTGAGAAGTTAGCGTAAGTATACTAAATCTAATCAGTACCAATAACATCAACGAATTGTTTATTGCCGAAATTTGACCATAATATCAAGACAGTTCTCATTTCAACAAAAGAAACTCACTGCATCGCTGATGAAATTATGTTAATTTGAAAATGAATATTTTCTTGTCAAGGATATCGTCTACTGAAACTGCATAACCGTATTTACAGTAATTAGTCATATATATTATTTTGGTGAAAAAAGAGCTTCCATTATCCAACATTCAAGTTTTATTAGCGTTCAATGATCTAAAGGTTTAAGAAGAATCAGTAAAAATAGTCGTATAAGATACAAGTATTCACTTGAATAGTATGAATAACATGGATAATCAATTGAAAAACTTGAGGTGATAACTGACGATTCATAAATATGAGCTCATTGGTAGAGGGTCCTAAAGACTAGTCGCCGACTATGGAAGATTATAATTTTGAGTTGGAATGGTAATAAGAGAGTTTGGATGTTCTGCTTCTGCAATAAGTGTTCAGCTACGAACCGGTGATTTGTTAAGGGGTTTGGGGTTCACAAGATCTTTTATTGGTGATCCTTTTGAATCCGATCAAACCTGTTGTTAGTTTACCAACTAGTTTTAGAATCCATTAATTTAATGTTTAAATGGTTTGAGTGAAAAGAGACCACAATTTTTTTTATCTTCTTAACTCAAAATAGACATTAACACCGCTAGATGCCGTCCAGTTCAGTGGTCTAGATGTTAAGCGTTCGCGCGCGAAACTGATAAGTCCTTGGTTTGAATCTCGTGAGGTATGATCATGGATGCGCACTGCTGAGTCCTACAATAGGACGAAACGGCCGTTCGATGCTTTCAGGTTTTCCATGGTGATCTAGCTTCAATTGACTCGTGATATTAACTGTTGAAATTCCTAATATTTTCTACAATATGGTAAACGAAACATTACATTTATGTAAATGTGGTGAAAATAACATCAACCGACTACATTGACATTTTGTGAAAATCATTTTTCGAGATAAGATTGTATCATAGTGACACAAAATTTTTTGGGATAGATTAGTTGGTAGGTAAAAAAGGCAGCTAGGCAAAAGAATAATAAACACTTGTGCCAAAAATTGCAATGTTCGATATTCATATCGTTTATATTAAACACTGATTTCCGATTTCTTTGTTATCAAGTCTTGGCTTAACTTAGCAGGTCATTTATTTTTATGTAATTCTAATGAATTCATAGTTTGATTGTGGGTTGAACTTAGTAGTTGGAAACTGTGAAACACTTGATAACTGTTTCATCCTGCCCGGTATGGAACTCTACAGCAGACCACATCCACTATTTTAGAACCTTTATTTCTCATGGCGAGCATTTAATTGTCAGATCACTAAACTGGTATCCAATTATTTATATTTTTAGATTGAGTAAGTCTGCAACATTATGCGATTTTCATTATTTACCATTGGGGGACATCATCTATGTGGTTGAACTATTCAAGTTAGACTTTTTGCCACAATTCCAGGACTTACCTGTGAACAGTTTTCACTAGTGAGAATATGATTATTATTAAATAAGACGTTTAAAAATAGCGTTGTTTTTTTACCCATGCTTATTGCTAGACACTGAATTCTAATAGAATCTTTTGAGTTATTTCTGGAAAAAATTGTTTTATATTAATATAGTCAGCTGTGTACTTATAATAATTTAAAATCATAGTAAAAGCACTGAAATCAATGTACATACATTCACGTTTTGATGTAGTTTTGTTGTGACTATGTAGAATCCAAATAACTGATTCAAAGAAATATTCACGCATACTTTTAACCTACACTGCTCCTAAAATAATGAAATGAACAGGTTAATTGATTAAATAGCCGCTTATTTTCACCATTCTAAATCCATACTATATAGATTATTTAATATTTTACACTAGAAAGCATCTAATTGAGTCATGTTTAAGATTAATTAGATATGTGTAAAGTATGTGGGATGA